AAATATCTTAGTAGTACTATGCTTAAATTGTTTACATGGTTAAAACCCAATCTATGAGCAATTCTTAGCAAATCCAGCAGTCCAGAATTGGAGATATTACACAGTTAAAAAATCCATGGTCTATCTCCTATAATAAATAATAAATTTCTAAAACAACATTGTTTGAAGTGAAATATTCTTTTTTTCAGAAAAGGGGATGCTTTATTTGTCTAAGGTGCTTGTCTATTAAAAACACTACGAACAAAGAGTTACTCTTCATGAACGTAAATTCGATTCCTATATAACTTTTTATGTCCCAGTCAAATATTTTAGATATTGCGCTTTTAAAATTTAATTTAAATTTTTACCACTATTACCAAAGGGGAAATACATCATTATTTGATTCACACGACGATTTATTGAACCATACAATGATGTTTTATTCAGTTGTTCATGTATTTTTTAAATTGTTCATATGTCTCTTTTAATATAGGAAAATCACTTCCTACATTCTCTAATCGATACCAACCTTTGATTATATTAAAACAAATTGGAAATCTACCAAGTTCAGATAACACTGCAACATGTTTTGTTTTCTTTGTGCACACCAATATAAATAAGAAGATGGGGTATGAGTGCCAATGAGACAACTCTACATCCAAGTCACAATGTATAAAAAGTTAACAATTATAGGTCAAAGTATACGGCCTTCAACACGGAGCCTTTGCTCACACAGAACAGCAAGCTACAAAGGTCTCCAAAATGACTAGTCTAAAACAATTCAAACAGGAAAACCAAAGGTCTAATCTATATAAAAAACGAGAAACGAGAAACACCTATGAACCACACCAACAAACGACAACCACTTAACAACAGTCTCCTGACTTAGGACAGGTGCATACAAACGCAGCGGGTTTAAACGTTTTAACAGGCGCCAACCTTCACCCTAACCTGTGACGGTAGTGTAACATTACAACATAAAAGACACACTATAAAATATCAATTGAAATGGCTTAACTCGATCAAAAAGTCATTTAAACAAAAACAAGTAAACATACACTGAACGAATAAGTTTGATCTATGACACAATATAAATACAACATTAAAACGTAGGAACCTATAGGTGCATATAGATATAAGAAGATGTGGTATGAGTGCCAATGAGACAACTCTCCATCCAAGTCAAAATTTATAAAAGTAAACCATTATAGGTCACAGTACGGTCTTCAACACGGAGCCTTGGGTTACACCGAACAGTAAGCTATAAAGGGCCCCAAAAAAATACTAGTGTAAAACCATATGCCTATATGACGTTACAGGTAGTAATAAAAAAAGATGTAGGAAGAGTGTCAATAAGACAACTCTTACCTGGGACAAAATGGCGTTAAATAAAACAACGTACACTATAAATTGCTAAATCTAATGTGAAGTTTCTCACGGGGAAAGCCTGAATATAATTTTTCAACAGATACATATCCTTCTTATATTTGGAGGAAAGAGATTTAAACATTCCCCATAATTCACTACCACAGTGAATAGACATTGGTCTAGATGTAATGTTATGTCAACAGATAGAGTGGTTTATAAAGTATTTCGATGGTCTTTTAGAAATGCTATGAATAAAAAGAAAAACTGGTGTAACAGAATTATGACAAAATGTAGAGAATGCAATTTAGATTTATACACTAATTTAGAGAATGTGTTGCATAAAAATGTTATAACACAGTTAGAAGATTTTTTATTTGATAAATATAAGGTAAATTGGTATAAAAGAATATTGGAAAAAAACACGGACTTATAAATTGTTTAAAGATTTTTTTGAAACAGAGATGTAATTGAGTAAGAACATTTCAAGTCGATACAGAAGTGCATTTGCTAAATTTAGGCGTGGTGTCTCTCTTTTGCGCATAGAAACAGGTCACTATGAAAACAAAACTGTAAAGAGTTTGTTTTTTATGTTATAACCAAATTGAAGATGAGAAATATGTGTTATTAGACTGTCCTTTATATGCAGATTTTCCTGAAAGTTTATTTTACGAAGTTAAAAGAAGTAATGTTGATTTCGATATTTTATCTGATGATGATAAGTTTATAGACATGATGAATATATAGTTATAATTAATTGCAATTTCTATAGTCTCTCATAATTCTTTATAGAATGGCACTTGTATTTTAACTTATAAAATTATACCGTTTTATACAATGTATATATCATGATGCTATATTATATGTATAACAAGTGGTGAGACTTATATACAATATTGAATCTGAATCTGAATACTTGTTTTGATGTTAGGATTTAGTGATAACAAATCTTTCTGCAATTTATGATAAACTTTTAAGGATTTCTTGTACTTTGATCATAACTAAATGAGCCAGATGAGCTCAAATATAAACCCAGGTTCTTGTATTTTGAAACACACATTCAGATTTATATTTTGGAATGTGAATTTCTGTTTAACATGTCTGCCTGCTTTGTTGAACATCAAAATATTTGTTTTGTTAGTGTTAACATTCAGACACCAATCTTTGCAAAATTTGGCAATCATGTTCAGCTTTTCTTGTAGCCCTTCTGCCGATTTAGATAATAAGGCAATATCTTCAGCATACATAAAACAATGTTAATCTTTATTATTAAAATTGACAGGGTCCCTTGTCTTTGACCAATAATTTGGTAAATCATTTATAAATATCTTGAATAAATCAGGACTAAGGTTGTCACCTTGTTTGACGCCAATATTTAATGGGAAAAATCACTGACTTGATTTTGAATTTTAACGCGTGATTTACTAATTTCATACATACTCTTGACACTGATATAATAGTAAGACCCAACCACAGTATCTAGTTGCTTAGTTTTGGTTTCTGTGTGTGTAACAGTTTAAAAAGCCGTCTGAAAGTCAACACAACAGGCAAACAGTTTCCCTTCTTTTGAATTACACTATTTGTTTATGAGGCAGTTAAGTAAGAACATATGGTCTGTCGTTCAGGCTTTCTTTGTAAGTCCAATTTGACTTTCATTTATGATACTATGTTCCCGAAGAAATCAGTCCAATCGTAAACTTAAAATTCGGTAAAAAAAAAGTTTTCCAATTACACCTGTTACTGTTATTTCTCTATAATTGATAGGGTCACTTGCATCGTTGCACTTTAAAAATTGCTGTAATTTAACCTTCAGATGTTGGGTATATACTTGATGACAGACAAGTATTAAATATTATCTGAAAGCTTTTAAGTAGGAACGTATGTCCATTCCTTATCGTATTATTACTAATGATGTCCAAGTCTGATGATTTATTAAATTTTAAATGTGAAATGGCTTTGGATATTTCCGACTCTGTAATGACAAAGTCCAATTCATTGCAACATTAAGTGTTTTTTAGCTGTTTCAGTTTTTCACAGAGCTGTGTATATCTATCCTTTGAAATTCCCTTTTCAGTTGGGACAACTTTTTGAAATTTGATATCAAAGTTGATGGTAGTACTGCACATTTGCCAACTGTTTCATTAATGTTCATCTTTTTCCTTTTAGTTCATTAACTATGTTCCAATACAGCTTTAGATTATCCTCGTGTGACGAGTCCAACTGATTGATAAATGACTGCCTGTATTGTTTATATTTGTACTTCCTATAAGCGTTGAGTATTCCCGATTTAATTTATATGGAAATCGTTAATAAGTTTTTCCATAGTTAAGCAAGTTATTTCTAGCTTGGTGTAAACGTGCATCAAACCACTTTTGTTCTTTCGTTTGTTTGTATATTTTTTAATAGGTCGTTTCAGTGACATATTTGCTGCTGATAAAAATATGTTTGATAGTTTTGATGATGCATTTGGATGTATACAAAAAAAATTAATCTGATTAAAATATAGATCTCTGATTTCGTTTTCCTTATATGTACGAGCATGCGAGTTGTTATATGTCTAAATTTTAATCAGATTGTCTTAAAATAAATATTGCCTTTAAAAGTATGTAGTAATAGTGATTTCTGGCAAATTAAATAATGTTTGGGTAACAAAGAACTGAAAATTTTCTCTGACCATTTTGATTCTATATTTGCAACAGCTTAAAAAGAATTCATGGTTCACCAAACGAACAAGCAAACTAAAAAGATATAGTATGATTGCCAATGAGACAACCATCTACATGAGACCAAAGGACGAGGATGTAAACGTATAAAGAGCACTGTACAGCCTTCAGCAATGAGCAAAAACTTGCATACCGTTAGTAAGCTATAAAAAATTCCGGTATGACAAATTCAAATTCAAAACAATTCAAAAGAGAAAACAACTGATGGCCTGATTCACAGTATACACTCAAGCAGTTCATTTGTAATATTAGCTTTACTACAATATAAACAATGGTTGTAATTTTTTGGAATTTCCTTTGGTATAAACACGTCCAAAATATATTCTGAATATAAACCCAACAGTTATGTTTAAAGCAAAAGCAAGCAAAAAAACTTCCATAGAAACTTAAAATTCTCATTTCACTCATATATTTTTTTTCAAAATAAGACTATAGAATGTTATTTTCTTTTTGAAGAACTATCAATTTTTAAAGCATACTACTGTTCGTATGCATCATATATAATCTTCTTATTCTGCTATATAAATTGAACAATAATTCAAAATATACGGTGTAAATAGAATGCCAATTAATACAGATCAACTTTACATTATATAAATGAACAGAACATTTATTAACATTAATGCAAAAATATCGAAAACTTCAACGTTTTACTAATGTAGTAGATTATGTCTGTCATCTATACCAATCTAAATCAATTTTATTACAAGATTAACGAACTGCATAATAAGTTCGGCCGTGATGAATACATGCATGATTTAGATTAAATCCTTAAAATAAACCAGACACCGTGAACCTAATGTATAAGCGGACAGATGTGAAATTAGGTCAATTATGTAATTAGATAATAACGTTAAACTATTAGATATGGTGGCTTACTTTTCGCTTTACAAAGGTCGAACGTGATATTTATATAGTGTTCTTTTCGGTCTTTAAATACACTTATGTGCAGCATAAGTGACTTTATGGTACAATGAAAGATTGTAACTTTTAATTGTATTAAGTCTTTTGATATCATGTTTTGTAAATGTTAGAAATATTAGAAATATGTAGAAAATAGTTTTGTACAGTACATAGGTGCTTATCTGACTTGAAACTCTTAGGAATTTTGTAATTGATATGGGGGCGCTACTTCAAGCACATGTTTTAATATGCAGCCTCTTTTTCAAATAGCTGCCGAAGGAAGAACACGTACAGAAATTTGGTGACACTCAATTTCATAAAATATTTTAATCCCCTCCTCCTTCCCCTACTTCCACCTTGAAAAGAGTTTCTTTCATTGTTTGAAGGTGACGAAAAGAGGCGGTATCTGCTCCCAAAAGTTGAGATGTTACACTATTATTAACAAATTTATAGTCAAGGGGAGATAACTCTAAATTGATTGACTTTTCAAAAATTTCAATTTTAATAATTGATGACATTTGTCTTTTCACTTATTACATAATATGCTCATTGGTTCAGATTGTAATGAAAGTATTGTATATTTAAATTCACAATTGGTACTTATAATTGTAGTGTATGCACTTCTTTTTGATCTTTTGATATGATTGATTTTGAAACATAAACATCTGTGGCCTGCATCATCATAACATGTGTTAGTTTTTATTTTGATTTTAGCAGACCATAAAATATTTGATGCAAATGATTCATACATCATGTCAGATGGCACCGTATTCGTTGCCGTTGTATCGATTGCCTCGGCAAAAATTGCATTCTTAGTTTATTGCAGACGTAAAAAACTTCAAAGGTTTGAAAAAATTGGGACAATTAAATCAATAAACCAGTTTCCTGTTAAATCTGGTGGTCCAATACACCTGGACACCGCTAAATGTACAGTCACTGGATTACGTTACAACAACATTACAGACAGGTAAGTGTTTCGTGACGTCATTCATGCGTTGTAAACCAAATGCAAAGGCTGCCAGCATAGTTAGCTAAATTTGTTGTAAATTCAAAATAAATAAGTCGTTACAGTATAGCCAGCGGGATATGGCAAGATGAAAATGGAACATGCACCCACATTGTACGCTAGCTTATATTTGGGGTTCTCTTCTGTGTTCCCACAGAGTTTAGCTTGGGTCTTCTTTGAATGTACCACAGAGACCGGTTCCTGAATTGGTCCCAGTTCGGAGCTCAGGTGTTCTCTTTGAATTTTAATAAGCTTCAAATGTAAACCAAAGAGTTCTTGGGGGAATATTTGCTACGTATCGGGTCTCATTTTCCATACGATCTCCCTATTTTATGGCAAATAACGTAGAGGATTGTAGCTTTCATTGCCTACCAGCGAAGCACAGGCTTGCCAAAAATAATGGTTCGGCGGTTTGTACGTTCATCTTGCCTTATCTTGTCTGCGCAAAAAATTCATACTGTGGCCATATCATTCCAAATTCTTTGTTTATTATATTTATCTTTGAATACTGTAAACTATTATTATCCGCGAAAGGGGTTGATCGCACTTGAGACATATATTAAACGGAATCGAGAAATTTGGTTGATCGCACATGAGTCATGATGAGAAATATATTAAACGAAAGCAAGAAATTGGTTGATTGCACATGAGACATGTATATATATATTAAATAAAAACAGTTTCGTATCTTTGATTAAATACCACCTGCCTATCTATACCACCCGTGTCTGTTGTGACGTTTTGGGTTTCAATGAACGTAATCTATGTATTACTGGTAAATTATTAAGTCAGGGATTCGTCACCACAAATTACTTAAAACTTTACTAAATTCTTCGATTCTTTTAGGACAAAAACGGTATTTTTATCGGTCGAAGCGTACGAAAATAGATTGCGTCAGGTATTATATTGTGATGAACATCAGTTCACTAATTCATAGTTTAAAGCAAGGATTTGTACAGTAAGACTATGCAAATCCTTGTTTGAAGCAACTGAAAATTGCGTAAAAAATAAGAAACTTTAAACAGCTCGTGCAGAATTTTAATACATTTAGAGATGCCAAAAAAAACTGTTTGCTTCGCAATCAAGGTGATGCCAAAATATAGAAAACAAGACGGAGAAAACATTGAAAAAGAATAGTATGTATTTCTTTTCAGACACTGGATGGTAATACGACGGGATAGAGCTTTTTTGTCTGCCCGACAGGAACCAAAATTAGTTTTGATCAAACCATCATCAGATGGTAACAATCTGCTTCTCGATGCACCAGGGATGCGAACTTTAGTCTTGCCAAAATGTCCACCCATCGACAAAAGTACAAAGTTGATAAAATGCAGGTTTGTTTACAACAATTTTTTAATTTAAATGACAAAAAAAGACCAGGCTCCTGTTTATAAAAATCGCGATGAAGGGTTTTTATTTGACGAGTCGGGACATATAAAAGCAATGTCCCCTGTGTAAACCATTAAAAGTAATACCTTCCTTAGTTTTTTTTTATACGACCGCAAAACAATTTTGGGGTCGTATATTGCTATCACGTCGTCGTCGGCATCCGACGACATTTGATTTCAGGACAATAACTTTAGTTTAAGTGTATGGATCTCTATTAAATTTAACCAAAAGGTTCAATACCACAACAGGAAGGTTGGGATTGTTTTTGGGGGTGATGGTCCCAACCGTTTAGGAATTAGGGGTCAAAAAGGGAACCAAAACAAGCATTTTTCTAGTTTCAGGACAATAACTTGTGCATGTATAAGTATTTTGATTGCTCTGAAATTACCGGTATATCACAAGGTTCAATACCACAAGTAGAAGGTTGGGATTCATTTTGGGGGTAATTGCCCAAACCGTTCAGGAATTAGTGAATTCTAGTTTTCAGACAATAACTTGTGTTTAAGTGTATGGATGTCTCTTCAGTTATTATTTTTTATTTTTTTTTTGGGGGGGGGGGGGGGGCAATTTTTTTTTTCTCAAGATTTAAGAAATTAAAATGAAAATTTCTTCAAATATCCATATTTTTTTTTTGGAAAAGCAGGACGAGGGGGGGGGGGGGGGGGGGGGGGGGGGGGCAGTAAAAAAAATTGTTTTTAGGGGGTGTCAATTTTTTTCCCTCAAAGTTTAAGAAATTGTCAATTTTCCAAAGAAAAATTGGGGTCACAATTTATTTTGCTAATTCTTTGTATATAGTATGAAAATAGATTTACTAAGTATTGCGCAACAGCACAGTGTATTGCACAACAGCAAGAAATCTTCAATTGAATATAAATTCAAATTGTATAACCAATTTCAAGTTCTTTGACTACATTTATTCTGTGTCAGAAACCTATAATGTGTCAAACAATCCAAATTCAGACCTGTATCAAGCTTGAATATTGTGTCCATTTTTGCCCCAACTGTTCAGGGTTGGACCTCTGCGGTTGATCCAGCTGCGCTCGGCGAAGCAGTTTATTTTTGTTGTCATGACTGCAATTATTGACTAGCAATTCGTTGAATATCGAGTATGTCATACATTTCAAGTTCAAATACGTTTTAGAATTTGGGACGAATATATAACTGGGTTATATTGTGGAGAGGATGCGGATAGTTGGATAGCTAAATACCTTGGTTATGACGGACCTTCGATAGTTGTTTCTACACCATCCATGGAAAAAAGAGATAGCTCTTTAGTAGTGAAAGAGTTCGGCAATCCCGCTGTTGAAGGAGATCTGGTATATATATCTCTTTTATAGCATATATGTGTAACATGCGTATACTCACAGAGACATAAAATATTGTATAATATGTCTCTGGTACTCATTAATGTACTTTAGAATGAAATAATAAGGTTATACATAAAAAATGGATGACAGGAATCACCAAGAATACTGTACAGTATAAAGTAAAATAATAAAAAATACCAAACTCCAAGGAAAATTCAAAACGGAAAGTCCCTTATCAAATGACAAAATCAAAAGCTCAAACACATCAAAGGAATAGAATACAACTGTAATATTCCTGACTTGGTACAGACATTTCCTTATATAGAAAATGGTGGATTAAACCTGGTTTTATAGCTAGTTAAACCTCTCACGTGTATGACAGTCATATGGATTTCAATTATATTGACAACAATGTGTGAGCTAAACAAACAGACATAATAGGCAAAAATGTAAAAAATTGGGATGCAGCAGCTAGTCCACATTGTGTTATAATCTTAATCACTATAAAACAAATAACTATTTCAACAAAGAAAAGCAAAATGGCACATAGACACTCTATAGACAAAGTACATAAGCTAAAATGAAAGATAAGGATACAAAAAATGACCATAGCACAATGACACAATGGCGGGATGCATAAATACCTAGCCACGCCAAAAGTATATACCAAAAATGGACCAAACAGTAAAGGTAAAAAATATACAAAGACAAATAAAAAGAATACTAAAGCATGTAATTAAGATGATAAACAACGTCAGTACCTAGAATATATACTTCAAGACCATCATGTAGTATTTGTGAAGTTGATACGAAATATTTATCAACAAGGTCTTGGTATCTTCCGATGAACTTTTTTAGAAAAAGGACGAGACGTTCTTTGACATAACTCTGGTTCATCAACTTTCTGCTCAGACACTGGTGACGTTTTTAAAGTCTGAGTAGCAGCTGCAAGCTCTTGAATACAGAATGAGTTGGAAAAGTATATCCCATATGCAGGTGAAGTTGGTACGGTGAGGGAAATTTATAATTTCAAAATTAAAATCGTCTCGTTTGTCATAGATTATTGTACTGAGATGACCACTTATGTCAAATTCGAGGTATACGTCTAAAAATGAGGCGGAGGAAGTCGTGTTTGTTGTTTCTTTAATTTCTAGTTCTGGAGGATACATTAATGGAACCCAATCAGAAAAGTTTGGATTGTTAATGGAAAGTATGAATGTGAAATTAAATGATCTGGCTTCTTTGGTCTTCTTATTTTTGAGACCACATCACATTATTGATTAACACCCGACTTTTTCTCATTTGGTTGAGGTTTTATTACACTGCTTGTCCAGAAGGCTTTGGCCTATTACTATACCAACTGCTTAAAAAGTTTTACCCAATTGCATTATGTGTATACCTCTACAAACTGATCAGCTGGTTAAACAGTTCAGCAAATTGCTTTAGATGCAGGTTGTTAGTGTGAAGTGAGTGCAGTGAAATTGCAATAAAATAATCAACTACTTTAACATAAGGAACTTTTTTAAAAAGATCGGACTTGGATATGAAAACTTCTATCCTAATGACATTTTATACATAATTAGTTCTAAACAATGTTTGGTTGGTCAATAATTTATTGCTTTGTTTTTGAACAGGATGCTATAATGTAATTTTAATTTGGACATGTTTTTCTAACACAATCATAGTTACTTGGGGACTGGACAATTTTTGTTAAGCCTCCCCCTTTTTTTTCCAAAATTCATTATTTTTTTGTTTTCCGTTAATTTCAATTATTTTGGGGTTTTCTGTATTATATGAACACATAAATATACTAAATATAACTTGTATTTGCTATTTACTATCAATTCCAAGTTTAGTATCCACAGCGATCACTTATATATATTATAAAGAGAGTCTGCTTTGTATCGATCTGATGAGTTAAGCCCTTTTCAACTAATTTTTATAGTTTGTTCTCATGTTGCACTGTTACACCACTGTCCCATGTTAGGGGAGGGTTGGCGCGCCTTCAAACTAGTTTAACCCCGCCACATTCTGTATGTGCCTGTCCCGGTCCGGAGCCTGTAATTCAGTGGTTGACGTTTGTTGCTGTACATCATAATTGTTTTTCTCGTTTAAATTGTTTTTCATTGTCATTTCGTGGCCCTTTATAGCTGACTACGCGGTATGCGTTTTACTCATTGTTGAAGGCCGTACGGTGACCTATAGTTGTTAGTTTCTGTGTAATTTTGTCTCTTGTGGAGAGTTGTCTCATTGGCAATCATACCACATCTTCTTATTTTTATATTAATTAACTGGCCTTTGATGGTAAGCATTATTTTTATTTCACTGCACTCACTTCACACTAACAACCTTTTACTGAAGCAATTTGCTAAACTGTTTTACCAGCTGATCAGTTTGTAGAGGTGAATACATACTGCAATTGGGTATAAAACTTTTTGAGCAATTGGTATAGTAAAAGACTAAAGCCTTAGACTGGATATAGACAGTAAAGATATAAAACATTTTACAAGTAAATCAACGTACGGAATGCATATGCGTATTTCTGCTCACTTAGACAATGACAAATGCATATCTTATTTTAATTGAAAACAGTTTATGTATATAATTTTCAGAGTGCCTTTGCAGACTTTGGTGCTTATATGATATTATCACAAGCATCTTTAGATGATCTCAATACAAGACTAGAGAAGAAAGTTACAATGACAAGATTTAGACCAAATATTACTATCGACGGTTGTGGTCCATACGACGAGGTAAATAAGTTAAAAATAAATTAACTACAAGCGAAAGTATAATATAGTATTATTCTTTTGGTAGACCTAGATAAATTTCAGTGGATGTGGAAAGCTATTGTTGTAATTTTTGTATTGCTTGTTGATCTCAGAAAGAAGTGAAGTACAGTTATCACAAGGTTGCAGGTTTGTAATTGGTAAATAGATATAAGAAGATGTGGTATGAGTGCCAATACAAAACTTATTAATAAGGCTTCAGATCAAAGCAATGGAAATGAACTTCAATGATAGTGAGATCGAGAAAAAAATGTGTACCAACTTTAAGTTGCCTTAATGAAGGCAATTTTTTGTAAATGTTTGAAACAAAAACAAAATGAAGAGGAAAGAACGAAAATATTTGGCTGTAATAATTGTACAAATTTTAGATTTATTTAAGTCCTGCGTGTGATTTTTATTCTTTGAGTTAAACTTATGTATGGAATTCTTTTTAGCTCACCTGACCAGAAGGGCCATGTGAGCTTTACCCATCACTTAACGTCCGTCGTCTGTCGTCATCGTTGTCCGTTGTCTGCCGTCCGTTAACTTTTACAAAGATCATTTCCTCTGAAACTACTGAGCCAAATAACCAGACTTGGTCACAATCATCATTGGGGTATCTAGTTTAAAAAATGTGTCCGATGACACCGCCTGTCAACCAAGATAGCTAGGGGTAAAATGTAAGTTTTGTCTATTATTGAAAACCGCTATAAAAAGAGAAAATCTGACTGGGGTAAAAATGTTCAGAATGTTGAGCTCTACCTATTGTCTATTTACGTCAAAACTGTCAAACAATTTCTTATCGAAGTTATTGCCCTAAAATGACGAATTTAACTACTTTTCCCCATTTTGCCTATTATCTTGAAAACTATAATAGGTAGAGAGAAACTTTAAACAGCTAGACTGATCAGCAAATAAATGCAATAGTAGTATACCGCTGTTCAATAGTCATAAATCAATTTAACTGAAACAAATCTGGGTCACAAACCAAACCTGAGGGAAACACATCAACTATAAGAGGAAACAAAACGGAACAACAGAAACACTGAACTGCTACAAAAACAAACGCCAACATACATAGAAACGAACTATATGATATCAACTGCCATATTCCTGACTTGGTACAGGACATTTTAAGAAAAAATGGTGGGTTGAACATGGTATAATAGCTAGCCAAACCTCCCGCCTATATGGCAATGTTAAAAATACCGCTAAAATGACAACATTACGTGACAAGAATACAATACAAATAAATGCAAGAACATTCAGGACACAGAAATACATAAATAAATAACTGCATACTCCACCGTTAGCAAAACAAGATCTTCAAATAAATCAATATATCGGAAATCGTTAATCGACTCCTTATTAGAGGTATTGCCCTTTAATAACAACTTTTACCATTTTTTGAGTGTTTGCCTAGCCTAAAATTTTAAAAACTTCTAGATATATAGACGCTTCATGATCAGCAAGATAAGATTTTCAAATAAGTCATTATATTAGTATAGGAAATCATCAATCGACTACTTATTAGAGTTATTGCCCTTTAATGACAATTTTTATCATTTTTTGGCATTTTGCCTAAAATTTTAATAGATAGATAGAAACTTTAAACAGCATACGTGATCAGCAAGACAACATCTACAAGTAAAGTCTAATAGCTGAATTCTTCAGTGGACTGGTTATTGAAGTTTTTGCTCTATTAGGACGTTTTTTACTAATTTCTTGCATTGTTGTCTATTATCTTGAAAACTATAAAGAAAGTTAAAAACTTCGAATTACAAAAATTATCAGCAAGACAAGATCTACAATCATGTCAAATTCTGCCGAAAAAGTTAGTAGATAGGAGTGATTGCCCTTATATGAACATTTTTAGCCCTCTTTTGTGTTTTGGGCAAAAAATAAATAAATAAAATGTAGTCTACAATGTTGAAGTTGTACATAGACCTAGGTAGGTGAGCGACACAGGCTCTTTAAAGCCTCTAGTTTGTTACAGGACAACTGGGCAGAAATGAAAATAGGCAGTTCAGTGTACATGAGGTTGTTGGATTTATGTGGTAGGTAGGTATTATGATTCATTTCATAATATTAATAACCCACAAAGGGTCGTGTAGGGTTTCTCGTCACTTTGTGTCTGTCATATTATTAGAAAGTAAGCTTTGAAAGAATATGGTCAATTCGGTAAGTCTTCACCTGAAACATATTCAGAGGGTCTACTATACAGTTAGTGATTAATTTCGCTGTTGATCAACCAAAATGTTTATAATAACTATACATAGAGCATAATGGATGTCCCTGTAAGTATCAGTGGTTTCAGTGTATTGCACAATAAGTAGGTACACACACAAACAACCTGTGATTTTGTTTCCAGAAAAGAAGGCTGGACTTTGCATAAAAATGACTGCATACTCCACCGTTAGCGATTGATTTTCCACACATTAAGCTGGAGTTTGCCATATAATGATAGTACATTGAGTAGTTACAGATACAATTTGAGCTCCTATCTAGTTGTCTTTTTCGACCTATCGTAGCAGAGATAAATAATACCAACGTCTCAATGTTACACGTAGTAGTTTCAGAACATCAAATCAAGATGTAATATATATCATTTTAGATGTAACTTAACAACAGTTGACCCTGCAACGGGAGAAAAAGACGTTAAAAGACAACCCCTAGAGACTTTAAAGTCGTAAGTAAACTGGAATGTATAACGGTCTGAATTAGCGTTTAATATTTAATCCTTTTATGTCCAGTTGTATTTAAATGTGATATCACTCATGACCGGCTATGATAATAGATCTCGATATTGATAGATGTTGCAATATTATTAGACTTTTTATAGGCAAGGACATATCACGAAAATATGACAATGCCGATGTATCTATAAATTCTCAGCTGTACAAATTATTATAATATTCTAAGCATGTGCTTTTTAGCTCACCTGGCCCATTGCCATTCGCCTATTAACTCAGATCTTTATTAGGTAGGTAGAAACGTCTAAAAGCGCATATTTAACCGAAACCGTGGGATGAGTTAATTGACGCCTGTAAATGACGATTTTTGACAAATTTATGAGTTTTTGCCTAGTATCTCAAAAAGTATACTAGATAAGTAGAAACTCTTAACAGCAAACGTGATCTATAGGGTTGCCAATATAACAGAACCCATTGGCTGACCCTTTATGGCAGTAATAATCCGTCAAAACGATGTTTCACTAAATTCTAAATTTTTGCCTTGTGGGCGATTTGGGCTCTTAGGAGCCTCTTGTTTCGAAATGTGTCAAGACTATCTAAAGTTTACTGCAGTCATTTGATACATTTTGTCATTTTAATTCTGTTCTCTTTAGTGGATCGCATCGATTCATTGTGGTTGAATGTTTGGCAAAACCTTTCGGATTTGGGTTTCTCACTGCTCTTCAACTTCGTACTTTATTTGGCCTTTTCAACTTTTTTGATTTCAGCGTCACTGATGGGTCTTTTGTAGACGAAACGCGCGTCTGGCGTACGAAATTTAAACCCTAGCTTATATGGTGAGTTTATGTCCTGTAGATAAGTTTTGGAATTGAAAAATAATGGTAATTTTTCTTCCAGTTACAGGTGCGTAACGGAAGATATTGTTCCGTGTTTTGGCGTGAATGCAGCTATTGACATAGAAGGTGAAATTAAAGTTGGTGACCCAGTCTATGTGATTAGGAAGTAGGAATGTTACTGCAAAAAAAAAGGATCACCATAGAATACTCCTAGTCTCTTGATCAAGACTACAAGTATGCATTCAGGACAAAAATATTGTAACTTCTGAGAAGAACAACAATAATGTTTTTTTAAGACACAAATTAATAAGCATTTACAGTCTTCCATTTTGTATGTTTTGTCAATGAAAAATAAATAAACAATAAAAAAAATCTTTATTTAGAGTCGACATGGTTTACAATCTGGTTTAATAGCATATTAATTTGACTAACTGGATATTGTGGTTAAATGTATGTAGAAATATTGAAATTAAAACATAGCACGACATATTAATACATAAATCTTTTTTTTCCGAAAACAGACGTGTTATATTTTCGTGTTTTTTTTTTGCCTTCGAAAAAATTATTTGGAGTAGGTTTTTTAAATAAATTTGAGATAAGATTCTTGATTTTATTGTGGAAATATTGTATTTTACAAGAACATCAGACTACCCAAAGAGGTTGATTACTAATTAACTATAAATTACACACACCAAAAAAAAAAACACCAATAGAAACATCAAGAGATGACGCATGGCAAATAATAGAAGTATCAGAGGGAACCGATAACAAAGAATTGATTCATCAGTTAGATAAATAAGTTTGTTTTTTAATATGATATCCTCTTTAGCCAAAACGTATCCTTCTGTGGGTTCTCAAAAGAAGCAAAAGAAACAAATAAAACCTGCATTTGATAAATGACAAATGATGGATGCATCAGATAAAATGGATGACAAGATGAAAGCTTTCCATATAAAAAAATAGATACATCAAATAGACTAATTGACAAACAACGAAAGCATATAAGACAATATACACAAAAACGATGTAAGCGTTATAGTGGACAAACGACAAAATATATCGATGCAACGGATAGAAAAGATGGTTGTGTGATGAGGCTTATCAAAGAGGACAGACGGAAGCATCTGAATGGGCAGACCTCAAGCGACGGAAGCATCAACGAGGGCATATTACAAACATTAATTTAGACGCATCAGAGTGGACAGATATAAAAAAGCTTCAAAATGGACTAATAACAATTAATTGAAGCATCCTTTAGGAGAGATGACATTATTAGAGGGTATACATGACAAATAATGGAAGCATCAGGTTGGATATGTGACCAGACGATGGAAATTTTAGATAGAACTGATGACAAACTGTGGAAATTTTTGCTGCATAAAATGGAAAGTTCTCTATAGAAAATTGAAGATATCTTCTAAACCACCCTAACTTAAGATTAAGAATCATCAGTCAGAAATGCTCTAAAACTTTACAAAGGTTATATCTTATTTGCGTGGGATTGTTCTGCAGTTTTATACGACCGCAAAAATTTGCGGCTGTATAATGGTATGGCGATGTCGTCGTCGTCTGAAGATATTTGATTTCCAGACAATAACTTGAGTATAAGTTTATGAATCTCTATGAAATTGTACCACAAGATTCCATACCACAAAAGGATGGTTGGGATTTATTTTGGGGGTATGGCCCTAACCGTTTAAGAATTTTGAGCCAAAAAGGGGCCAAAGGGAAACATTTTAGCTCACATGGCCGCAAGGCCAAGTGAGTTTTTCTCATCAATTTGCGTCCGTCATCCGTCGTCTATCGTCCGTCGTCGTCCGTTAACATTTACAAAAATCTTCTCTGAAACTACCGGGCCAAATTTAACCAAACTTGGCCACAATCATTATTGAGGTTTCTAGTTTATAAATGTGTCCGACGACCCCGCTTGTCTTTGCTAAAAATAGAACATAGGGGAAAATGCAAGCCTTTTCTATTAACTAAATCCTCAGACGAATCCTCATTCGAGTTATTGCTCTGATCCTAACAAAAAATACGCTGAAACAGACATTATCAAGATGCTTGATTTCTTGATTGACAACATATTTGTCACGTTTGGAGGACGTGTTTTTCAACAAACAATCGTTATTCCCATGGGAACCAACTGTGCTCCTCTTCTTGCCGACTTGTTCTTTTATTGATATGAGGCTGACCTCATACAGGAACTTCTTAGGAAGAAAGAAAAGAAGTAAGCAGTATCCTTTAACCTCACTTCCCGCTATATAGATGATGTTCTCTCACTAAATACTTCAAAATTTGGTGACTATATTGAACGCATCTATCCCATTGAACTTTAGATAAAGGATACAACAGATACAGTTAAGCTGGTCTCATATCTTGACTTACATGTCTTAAATCTAGAAATTGAAAATGATGGTCGGTTGAAAACAAAATTTTACGACAAAAGAGATGATTTCAGCTTCCCAATTGTGAACTTCCCATTTCTATGTAGCAACATTCCAGCAGCACCTGCATACGGAGTATATATCTCACAATTGATACGATATTCCAGGGCTTGTATTTCCTATCATGATTTCCTTGATAGAGGGTTGCTGCTCACAAAGAAGCTATTAAACCAAGAGTTCCAAGTGGTGAAGTTGAAATCGTCCCTTCGTAAATTTTACGGACGCCATCACGAGTTGATTGACTGTTATGGAATATCCGTTTCACAGATGACAACGGATATGTTCCAATTGTCGTAACTACAATACCGTCCCCTTTTCCTCGAATGTGACCTACCGAATTAAACTTATCACCGGTTTTGTACTAACATGAGCAACACGACGGGTGCCATATGTGGAGCAGGATCTACTTACCCTTCCGGAGCACATGAGATCACCCCCAGTTTTTGGTGGGGTTCGTGTTGCTCAGTCTTTGGTTTTCTATGTTGTGTTTTGTGTACTGTTGTTTGTTTGTCTTTTTCTTTTTCCGTCTACCTTCTTTTTCATACTGTAAATTTACATCGTTAACTTCTACACAAAGCAGTGACATTTAAAGACAACTTCTCATTGACATAAAACTTTAAAAAAAAAATACTCAAAACTATGAAGAAGGACGACTGAAATGACTTCACATGGTCTCCGTCACTGATTAGTTGATACTTTTTGTGCCTCTTTATTTAAACCTCCTGAAGACTTTTTTACTCTGTCATGAATCCATGTTGACATTGTTACCGGTTTCGTCTTGTCCCAAAACTAATAGTTAAAACTGGATTTTACTCTACTTAATCAAGTGATACCAAGATATGCTTTCATAGTAGGAGGTTTATATCCTAACGATACACCTGTTGCCCCACCATTCCTATTTTTTAAATCCCGTATGTATCTGTTTGTACTTGGATTTGTTTTAACTGGTCTGTGGATACAACATTCTATTTAATTACTCCAGTTGACAGATCATTGCCAAAAAAAATCTAAATTATGCATGAGTCATGCATATTCCTTCTTTATGCAACACTCTTCCCAAATATGCATGAAATAATTACCACTGGACGCTAGGAATAAAACAATCGATATAAAAATAAGTAAAGATATGGTATGATTGCCAGTGAGACAACTATTCACCAGAGACCAAATGACGTAGATTTAAGCAACTACAGGTCCCCGTACGGTCTTCAACTTACAGCAAAACCCATACATAGTTTAAGCTACAAATGACCTCAATCAATCAATCTTTAATCAACATTAACATTTCATATGACAAATGGAAGATTAAATAAACACTACATGTGGCTTAAGTCTTGACTATAAACTTTAATGCAGATACATGTGAATATTTCAGAAAAAAATACATATATTTCGGAAATAATGTCTGAAAGGCCTGTTTCTCAAATGTTTCTTAATATTTCTGCACAGGTTATGATTCTATGTTACTGGTTTCCGCAAGACATACACTGGGTCTCCAATCTTGATTATACCTTCTCTATCTATTGCTGTGTTAACACCAAATAATGGAGAATCACCGTAAGGTTTTGTCTTTCTAAATCTGAAATTTACACAAATAATTATTAATTATACGGCTATAAATATTTAAGTATATCATGAAAATAAAAGGGAAATTTTCTATTATAAATGCAAAAACTGCTTTTCTTCGTGTATGCAAATAGACTTTTCTTTTACAGTGTTTCTTTTATGATGTTGATATAACAAAAATATCTGCGAGATTTTATTCACAAGCTTTTATAACCAAGTGCTATATATAATCATCAATGTTAAGTTTTATAATAAAACTGGAGCATACTTTCTGAGTGTTTTCAATGGCTCAGCGTTAGAGTCTCTCTTCCCGTCCGGTGCTACAGTTATCAGTAAACACCTACAATGAACAGGTATAATCATATACTTGGAGGCTAGAAACAAAATCCGAGTACAAATACCACATTGAAAACCCATTTAATAAAAACAATCAGCTCCCTTTTGATTAAGTATTGATCAAGTTACAGCAAAGTTTGGGAGCTCAATACAACATAATTGTCTGTCTTCACTACCATAGTCAATTATAAATCAATTAGTAAACAAACTATATATCAGACTATTACATGTAATGAATATACGGTATGTAAAACCAATATAAGCTTTAAGATAGCTTCGAATATCAAAAACTTAAGTTCACAACAACGAGAAAAAAAATACACCACATAATATGATATCAATTAGCAAAGTAGATAGCGACTTACAACATTTAATTTGATGCAAGCAACTACATCCTGTTTTTGTATGTTTATCAAATTTCAATGCTACATTTTCGTTTTTTCAAATTCGATTCCATTGTAGTCAAGCCAAAAAAAAAATCCCTGACACGTCCGTTCTGTGTTTTTGTTTTCCTGCTTTGTATCGAGCTGATGAGTTAAGCCTTTTCAGCTGCTTTTTATAGTTTGTTCTTATGTTGTATTGTTACACCACTGTCACAGGTTAGGGGAGGGGTTCGTTCCAGCAAACATGTTTAACCACGCAACATTATGTATGTGCATGTCACAAGTCAGGAGCCTGTAATTCAGTGGTTGTCGTTTGTTGCTGTATATCAATATTTGTTTTTCTTTCATTGTTTTGTACATAAATCAGGCTGTTAGTTTTCTCGTTTGAATTGTTTTACATTTGTCATTTCGTGGCCTTTTATAGCTGAATATGTGGAATGGGTTTTGCTTATTGTTGAAGGCCGTACGGTGACCTACATGGGCAATCATACCACATCTTATTGTTTTATATTGTAAAAGAAATCTCAGTTTTCTGTGGTAGGCGATCAACTTAAGGCTAATTACCAAAAAAATCGTTTTGATATAATTATAAAATATCGACCACCGTACAGAGAAAGTAATGGTTGAACGCAATCTGATTCATATGCAGGTTTCGACTGGGTTTCTCTAATATAGTGAATAAAATAACATGATATATTCTCAAAGAACAATGCATTCAACAATTGAGAAATAAATTTACCTTGGGTTTGGTTCTAATATTCGCATGTAAACACTATCACCGATTCTCATCTCCAGCCAATTGTCCTGGAAAGAAGTTTCAATGGAAGGAGTGTTCATATGTTTTTATTATTTCGTGAGGAATAAAACGTGTTTTACTAGTGAATCAGCACTAACTACGACGGGTTTTACTAGTGAATCAGCACTAACTACGACGGGTTTTACTAGTGAATCAGCACTAACTACGACAGGTTTTACCAGTTAATCAGCACTAACTATTTCGGAGCACCTTGGTTTGTCCTATAGGTTTTGATGGAGTTTGTGTCCTTCAATCTACAGCTATAAGTGTGGTGTTTTCAGAAATTTTTTAGTCTTCTTTTAGCTTATGATAGTACCTTCTTACATTTCTATGTCTCCATTCGACTTAGAAGTGTTTCACCTACTGTTTTTTTCCTCTTCTTCTTCTTCCGGTTCTTCTCATATAACCTTTCCGGGCCATAACTTTTTTGTCTGGCTTATGATATTTGGCATGAAGTTGCATTACCATAAGACGTGTGTCGCATATCATCTTAATTAACCTTCAACTTCAAGGTCAAAATATTTGATTTTTTGGTCATTTTATTGCCCGGAACATAACTTTTTTTATCCTTTGACATTTGGCACATGAGTACAAACACATCAAGACGACATGTCGCGCACAATGGAATATTATTAATGACATTTTACTTTGACTTTCAAGGTCATTGTTTTGTTGATGTCCACCAAAAACCATCTATATTCTTGCTTGTCATGACCTTTTTAAAAATGCAACTAGGGTTTGCCCATTGGGGTCATGCTCAGTCCCTCATACTAGTATAATAAATCAATAAATATCACTCACATCACCACCCGTGAACTATATATAGTCTTAAAGTCTTTACATGACCTTTCTTGTTCATCATCGGTTAGGGGACATATCCCAACCCCCTGTATATCGTTAATGAATAAATAAGTAGCTTTAAAAACGCCCATTTCCCATCCTTAAACCCTATATACTAAGAAGTATTAATCCTCATTACAACCTTTCAGTAAACCCTATTTTTTTTATCTGTGATGGTTATACCCTGTGCTCTGATATAGTTTCTTTTTAAATATATTAAAAACTGTTCAAATGATCATCCCTATAAACCAGATGTATTATTAACTGTCACGACAAAACCTTTTAAATGGACTATTGATTTTGTCCATGGTGATGAAACTTGACAATTTTGCTAGCTAGAAATAAAAAAAAGAAGCTCTGTGGCACCGTTAAATGTGGCACCGTTAAAGTCCACAATTTCTCTAAAGTCCACAACAAATTTCCGCTAAAGTCCACAACGCCGTTAAAGTCCACAAACTTTCCGCTAAAGTCCACAAAATGACCTCCGCTAAAGTCCACAAAAAAACACCGTTAAAGTCCACAAAAACAAGTTCCGATAAAGTCCACAAAAAAGCATCGTTAAAGTCCACACAATTTTTTTTTATTATCAAAAAAAATCGATTCGCTTTTTTTTTTATCCCGATAGAATAGATCTAATAAAAAGCATGGACTTTTGTTCTTGGAAAGTTTTTCTTATCAGCTTGAATTATATTTTTGATAAATGAAAAGATTATAGTACCTGATTTTGATCCCCAATAAATTTGCTCTTTGTATTGCGATTCTCTATCTTTCAAACAGACAACAATTCTGAAAAGTTATCTAGCTATGGTGCTCTTTTTGTATTCTTTAGTAAACATGTGTACATCCACAAGAAACTCAAACATAACGTTCTCTTTATGTATATGCTGGAGACACTGACAAATCTTGGAGCCTATATTTGACATTGAAATTTCCTTTGCAACGATCTATAAAACATAAGAAAGAAATCCATTCAGTGTCTCTTAGGCTCCACAGCAGCCAAAACGGTCCGTAAATCTAAAAAATAGACGTTAAACCATAATGTTCTTGTTTGAAATCAAAATAATGATGAAGAATTTCACACAAGCATTTTGTGGGGCTAAGCAGATTTCCATCACTTATTGGTTTGTATGTTTGTTTGGTTTTCAAAAAGGAAAATGTATTTAGATATAGGAAGATGTGGTATGAGTGCCAATGATATAACTCTCAATCCAAGTCACAATTTATAAAAGTAAACCATTATAGGTCAAGGTACGGTCTTCAACACGGAGCCTAGGCTCACTCCGAACAGCAAGCTATAAAGGGCCCCAAAAATTACTAGTGTAAAACCATTCAAACGGGAAAACCAACGGTCTAATCTATATAAACAAGAGGCTCTCAAGAGCCTGAATCGCTCACCTGTATTTCAGAGGAGAAGATTTTTAAATGTTAGCAAACTTGATGAACAAATTGTGTAAAATTGTCTTTAAAGGCAATAACTCCTAAAGGGGTCAATTGACAATTATGGTCATATTAACTTTTTTGTAGATCTTACTTTGCTGAACATTATTGCTGCTTACAGTTTATATATATCTATAATAATATTCAAAATAATAACAAAAAACTGCAAAATTTTGTTAAAACTACCAATTCGGTGGCAGCAACCCAACAATGGGTTGTTCGATTCGTCTGATAATTTCAGGGCCGATAGATCTTGACCAATTAAACAATTTTACTCCATGTCACATTTGTTCTAAAAGATTTAGTTTTTGAGATATAAGCCAAAAACTGCATTTGACCCTTATGTTCTATTTTTAGCCATGGCGGCCATGTTTGTCGATGGATACAAACTTCGGATACAATTTATAAACAAGATACCCTAAGGAACATTTAGTTAAAGTTTGAAGGTAATTGGCCCAGTAGTTTCAGAGGAGAAGATTTTTAAATGTTAGCAAACTTGATGAACAAATTGTGTAAAATTGTCTTTAAAGGGCAATAACTCCTAAAGGGGTCAATTGACAATTATGGTCATATTAACTTTTTTGTAGATCTTACTTTGCTGAACATTATTGCTGCTTACAGTTTATATATATCTATAATAATATTCAAAATAATAACAAAAAACTGCAAAATTTTGTTAAAACTACCAATTCGGTGGCAGCAACCCAACAATGGGTTGTTCGATTCGTCTGATAATTTCAGGGCCGATAGATCTTGACCAATTAAACAATTTTACTCCATGTCACATTTGTTCTAAAAGATTTAGTTTTTGAGATATAAGCCAAAAACTGCATTTGACCCTTATGTTCTATTTTTAGCCATGGCGGCCATGTTTGTCGATGGATACAAACTTCGGATACAATTTATAAACAAGATACCCTAAGGAACATTTAGTTAAAGTTTGAAGGTAATTGGCCCAGTAGTTTCAGAGGAGAAGATTTTTAAATGTTAGCAAACTTGATGAACAAATTGTGTAAAATTGTCTTTAAAGGGCAATAACTCCTTAAGGGGTCAATTGACAATTATGGTCATATTAACTTTTTTGTAGATCTTACTTTGCTGAACATTATTGCTGCTTACAGTTTATATATATCTATAATAATATTCAAAATAATAACAAAAAACTGCAAAATTTTGTTAAAACTACCAATTCGGTGGCAGCAACCCAACAATGGGTTGTTCGAGTCGTCTAAAAATTTCAGAGCTGATAGATGTTGACCAATTGAACAATTTTTACCCCATGTCAGATTTGCTCTAAAAGCTTTAGTTTTTGAGATATAAGCCAAAAACTACATTTGATCCCTATGTTCTATTTTTAGCCATGGCGGTCATGTTTGTCGATGGATCAAAACTTCGGATACAATTTATTAACTAGATACCCTAAGGAACATTTAGTTAAAGTTTGAAGGTATTTGGTTTAGTAGTTTCAGAGGAGAAAATTTTTGAAATAGTTTACGACGACAGGCGACGACGACAGACGACGGACGACGACGGACGCCAAGTGATGGCATAAGCTCACATGGGGCCCTTTGGGCCCCGGTGAGCTAAAAACGAGAAACGAGAAACACTTATGAACCACATAAAAAAACGACAACCACTGAACATCAGATTCCTGACTTAGGACAGGTGCAAACAATTGCAGCGGGATTAAACGTTTTAATGGTACCAAACCTCCTCCCTTTTCTGAAATAGTAGTATAACATCACAACATAGAAAGACACACTATAAAATATCAATGGGAATGACTTAACTCAATCAAAAAACGAAGTGATACAAATAAACACACAATGAACGAATAAATTTGATCTGTGATACAATGTAAATACAGAGTTAATAAAAATAAGGGATGAATTATTAAAGTCAAAGTATAAACCTTCTGTGAAATGTTAAACAATTTTAGAAAAACATCAAATTTGAAAAACAATTACGTCATATAATACACAGGTAAATGAAAATAATTTGCATGTTTCAGAATGCATTGAAGATGAATTGAATAAATTATACGCGGATGCAGTATACATACACGTGTATTTGGACCATATGGGTTGATTTTAGACAGGCATTTGTTAAAATCTTAAACTAATATTGTTACAATTACATGATTAAAGTGAATAAGTGAACATTCAATCAATTGAAATGAATGATTTATTTTCTTTTTGGCACTCTCGCCCACAAGGAAAATTTGATTTTTTACATGTTTTGTTCATGCACATTCCTTAAAATTTGCATTTTTTAGTAAAGTTCCTAAATATTCTATAAACGTGTCTTCCCACATTATGTTTACTTCCAATAAAATCTATTTCTGCGGGCATTATTCAATTTCATGTATTACTGACAGGCTAAGTACAGGAGATTAACATATCAAATGAACGTGTTGTTTTTAATAGCTAAAACTTTAATTTTTTATTTCAATTGCAATTGAACTTTGTGTATTAATCTAAGATTTCAGTTATGTTGATCTGTAATGTACATTTGTATCTGTTCCAGACCATATGAGTATTTGGACCGTACGCGTACGGTCCGGATTGTATGCATATACTCGTACAGTCCGACCATACGCGTACGGTCGGACCGTACGAGTATTCTCATACGGTCTAAAACGAGCTGGACCATACATGTATTTGGACCATATGGGTTTGTTTTAGACAAAAAATTATCAAAAAACTTTTATTGAGTATTACAAATTAATATTATTACAATAAGATGAATAAAGTTTATTAGTTAACATTAAATCAATTGAAATTAAATAATTCTGTATTTAATTGTCTAACTAAATCCTATTTTGGCACTCTCGCCCAGGGTGACACTTGCTGCCACAAGGAACATCAAATTTCTTACATTTACATATTTTGTTCATGCATATAAAAAAGAAGATGTGGTATGATTGTCAATGAGACAACTCTCCACAAGAGACCAAATGAAACAACTATAGGTCACCATACGGCCTTCAACAATGAGCAAAGCCCATACCGCACAGTCAGCTATAAAAGGCCCCGAAATGACAATGTAAAACAATTCAAACGAGAAAACTAACGGCCTAATTTATGTACAAAAAAATGAACGAATAACAAATATGTAACACATAAACATGTTCCTTTGCATTTGCATCTCTTGCTTGCAAGAGACAAGCTTGCTTGTTTTGCGGCAGCATGCAATGAAATTCCTTCTGTTTTCTAATGTGCAGTTTCAATTTTGCGTGTCAAAAGTTCTATATCACCCATAACATAACAAGAGTTCAATATGCCAAATTCACATGACAGTTTGTACAAACTTGCATCCTTACTAATATTATCATCAACCCTACATCCCCCGATGCTTTTCTCACAGTAACAAAGGTACCTTTTTTCAATCTTTGCATTATTTTGCGAAACTTTTTTATTATATTTTCTCATTGTATTTTGAACAGATTTTTTATAATTTCTGTCCAGTATTTTCTGTAATCTGTCGTTATATACAGGAGATTAACTTTTAAATAGTTAAAACAATAAGTTTTTATTCCAATTACACTTGAACTTTTTATATTAATAATTATTCGAGATTTCAGTTGTTTTGATCTGTAATATACATTTGTATCTAATAAACTTGACCAACTTCTTATAATCTGGCAGACCGTACGCGTACAGTCCGACCGTATGCGTATTTTGAAAAAGAACGCGTATATGGTCCAAACCGTAGACGTACAGGCTTATTCCCTTTTCTGAAATAGTAGTATAACATCACAACATAGAAAGACACACTATAAAATATCAATGGGAATGACTTAACTCAATCAAAAAACGAAGTGATACAAATAAACACACAATGAACGAATAAATTTGATCTGTGATACAATGTAAATACAGAGTTAATAAAAATAAGGGATGAATTATTAAAGTCAAAGTATAAACCTTCTGTGAAATGTTAAACAATTTTAGAAAAACATCAAATTTGAAAAACAATTACGTCATATAATACACAGGTAAATGAAAATAATTTGCATGTTTCAGAATGCATTGAAGATGAATTGAATAAATTATACGCGGATGCAGTATACATACACGTGTATTTGGACCATATTGGTTGATTTTAGACAGGCATTTGTTAAAATCTTAAACTAATATTGTTACAATTACATGATTAAAGTGAATAAGTGAACATTCAATCAATTGAAATGAATGATTTATTTTCTTTTTGGCACTCTCGCCCACAAGGAAAATTTGATTTTTTACATGTTTTGTTCATGCACATTCCTTAAAATTTGCATTTTTTAGTAAAGTTCCTAAATATTCTATAAACGTGTCTTCCCACATTATGTTTACTTCCAATAAAATCTATTTCTGCGGGCATTATTCAATTTCATGTATTACTGACAGGCTAAGTACAGGAGATTAACATATCAAATGAACGTGTTGTTTTTAATAGCTAAAACTTTAATTTTTTATTTCAATTGCAATTGAACTTTGTGTATTAATCTAAGATTTCAGTTATGTTGATCTGTAATGTACATTTGTATCTGTTCCAGACCATATGAGTATTTGGACCGTACGCGTACGGTCCGGATTGTATGCATATACTCGTACAGTCCGACCATACGCGTACGGTCGGACCGTACGAGTATTCTCATACGGTCTAAAACGAGCTGGACCATACATGTATTTGGACCATATGGGTTTGTTTTAGACAAAAAATTATCAAAAAACTTTTATTGAGTATTACAAATTAATATTATTACAATAAGATGAATAAAGTTTATTAGTTAACATTAAATCAATTGAAATTAAATAATTCTGTATTTAATTGTCTAACTAAATCCTATTTTGGCACTCTCGCCCAGGGTGACACTTGCTGCCACAAGGAACATCAAATTTCTTACATTTACATATTTTGTTCATGCATATAAAAAAGAAGATGTGGTATGATTGTCAATGAGACAACTCTCCACAAGAGACCAAATGAAACAACTATAGGTCACCATACGGCCTTCAACAATGAGCAAAGCCCATACCGCACAGTCAGCTATAAAAGGCCCCGAAATGACAATGTAAAACAATTCAAACGAGAAAACTAACGGCCTAATTTATGTACAAAAAAATGAACGAATAACAAATATGTAACACATAAACATGTTCCTTTGCATTTGCATCTCTTGCTTGCAAGAGACAAGCTTGCTTGTTTTGCGGCAGCATGCAATGAAATTCCTTCTGTTTTCTAATGTGCAGTTTCAATTTTGCGTGTCAAAAGTTCTATATCACCCATAACATAACAAGAGTTCAATATGCCAAATTCACATGACAGTTTGTACAAACTTGCATCCTTACTAATATTATCATCAACCCTACATCCCCCGATGCTTTTCTCACAGTAACAAAGGTACCTTTTTTCAATCTTTGCATTATTTTGCGAAACTTTTTTATTATATTTTCTCATTGTATTTTGAACAGATTTTTTATAATTTCTGTCCAGTATTTTCTGTAATCTGTCGTTATATACAGGAGATTAACTTTTAAATAGTTAAAACAATAAGTTTTTATTCCAATTACACTTGAACTTTTTATATTAATAATTATTCGAGATTTCAGTTGTTTTGATCTGTAATATACATTTGTATCTAATAAACTTGACCAACTTCTTATAATCTGGCAGACCGTACGCGTACAGTCCGACCGTATGCGTATTTTGAAAAAGAACGCGTATATGGTCCAAACCGTAGACGTACAGGCTTATTCAAAAGTACGCGTGCGGTCTGCCTAATTTTAAGAAATTTGTCAAATTTATCTAGAATCAAAATATGAAATAAAAATTTTAACTAATTTAAAATACAAAAGTCACGCTACATTGTAACTTTATCAGTTAATCTCCTGTATTAGCTTGATAAGTATGAAATTGAGTTAAAATGCTCACTGAAATTGAAGTTATTGAAAGTACATATAATGTTGGAAGATAAGTTTTTAGAATAATTAGGAACTTTACTACAAAAACCGTCAAGCCAGCTTTGTACTTGTGAGAAGACTAATAGAATTAAACTGAAATACTTAATATATAGTTTTGTCAGTTTCTCAGATATTATAAGTGATATTAAAGTCATGTATACATCTTGTGTATTGAATGGTTGTAATGTGTACATGACTGTCTGTCTGGTCTGTGTCATATTTTCATGACTCAATTTGATGATTCATTAGTCAAAGTTCTTATTTCTTGGTGATGTTTGCTTCCGAGATACTCTAAGCGATAAGTTAACTTATTTTGGTATATCATCATGGGATGAATTTATGTCTGTCTGAAAAGATTTATCTCACCTTGACATCATGTGCATTGATAGGTTTCTGTAAATAATAGGCGATACGGATAAACACTATGCTCTTTTAGAAAATGTGAGGCATACGTATTGTGTTCTATGAACGAAAGAAGAAGTGGGATATTTAGTAAATGGTCAGAAGGATTTGTCACCTACAATTTGTTGTTATATATACATGTATATTGAAAATCTACGTTTTTTCATAAAAATATTTAGGGACTACTTAATGTAGGATTTTAATCAAAATTGTTACCAGTAGAAGCAGAACTGTCATAGGTTTATATGTTTATTTGGTAATATATTCATTGTGATGCGTTAATTATTAATTTCTGGTGATATAAACACAAAGTATATTTTTATCCTAAAATTTGATTTGCATCAAGAGAAAAACAAAAATAACCGAAGAAAATTATGACCAACAAATAAACAAATATATATTCAGACAATTCTGCGTCTTTCAACACATGGTTTGTAATAATCCGACTGTAAATGCCGTCAAATGTAGTTTTGTATAAAAAAAATTATGATCATGTTTTACATTTACTGACAGATTTATTTGTGTGTTGTTACCCGTCTACACGAAAAATATAAGATTTTTCCTGTTAGAACTAATTATAAAAAAAATTGTGGACTTTAACGGTGTTTTTTGTGGACTTTAGCGGAACTTGTTATTGTGGACTTTAACGGCGTTTTCTTATGGACTTTAGAGGAGGTCATTTTGTGGACTTAAGCGGAAAGTTTGTGGACTTTAACTGCGTTGTGGATTTTATCGGAAATTTGTTGTGGACTTTAGCGGTGTTGTGGACTTTAGATGAATTGTGGACTTTAACGGTGCCACAAAGCTCATATGACTGGTTGAAAAAGTTCTATCAAACATGTACCTCGTCAAAGGCAAGCGATCCATTTATTATAATATTTGGTCGAAAGTTGCCCATGCTAACTGGGTTTGCTAATCGGCTGTTCAGATCTTTCAGTGAGTTTTCGAATGCTATATTACACATGGAAACTTCAGAAAAAGTCACCTGAAATGTGAAAGAAAGAATTCATTGATAATTTCTGATCAGTTTCAAATGCACGATTATTGCATTGTTCTACATAACCATTACACAAAAGCATCTTTAAATATTCATAAAATATGAACCATTAGTTGGAAGTATGCAGACAAAATTACAACTATTATCTACTTAAATCAAAAGTTGTTTGTATTGAACTCACTTTATCAGTCGTTTCTGGTACATTTAACCATGGCCTTGGAACTAGTTCACTAACGTCTCGCTTTGCCATATTTTCCGTGGATACCACGATATATGCTCCTTTTATACCAAGATATTTACTAATCCATTCCGAGGCTTCTTTTCCACAGTTCATTGCAGTCATTGCCTTAACTTTGGGTCTTTTATGTAAAACAAAACAATACATGTTTATGCTAACTGGGACACCAACAAGGTAATAATAGATAATTCATTAGGGGTTTCCGTGGAACCATGTGTCTCGCCTGCGATTGCTGCTGCACATGTCAGTGTACAATGTAATGTCCATTGATTAGCAAAATACAGAATTAAAAAAAAAAGAGTGCACACGCTGAAATGTCTCGCATAGTTTATTGACCATTGATTTTATGTCAAAAATATAAAGTTTTACTACAAGTATGACATAAACTTAACATGATCAAAGAAAATGAGGACAAGGTCAGATAAATCAAACCATGAAAACTTTATATTGACCAATGAACCTTAAAAATGAGGTCATGGTCAGATGAACCCTGCCAGACAGACATGTACATCTTACAATTATTCCATACACCAAATATAGTTGACATATTGCATATAGTATCTAAGAAACAAGATTAAACATGAAAACTTAACATTGACCAATGAATCATGAAAATGAGGTCAAGGTCAGACGATAATTGCCAGACAGACATGTACATCTTACAATTATTCCATACACCAAATATAGTTGACCTTTTGCATACAGTATCAGAAAAACAGACCAAAACACAAAAACTTAACTTTAACCACTGAACCATGAAAATGGGGTCAAGGTCTGATGACACCTTGCAATCTTTCCATACACGAAATATAGTAGACCTAGTGCTTATAGTATCTGAGATATGGACCTGACCACGAAAACTTAACCTTGTTCACTGATGCATGAAATGAGGTCGAGGTCAAGTGAAAACTGTCTGACAGACATGCTGACCTAGCAAGGTACGCACATACCAAATATAGTTATCCTATTACTCATAATAAGAGAGAAATTAAGATTACACAAAATCTAACTTTTTTCAAGTATTCACTGAACCGTGAAAATGAGTTCAATGACAATGAACATGTGACAGACGGAAACTTCATAGCATAAGGCTTCTATATACAAAGTATGAAGCATGCAGATCTTTTTTTCTTTCTGAAATATTAAGCTTTTAAGTAGTTAGTTAACGCCGCCGCCGCCGCCGCCGGATCACTATCCCAATGTCTCGCTTTCTGCGACAGAAGTCGCAGGCTTGACAAAAATCAAACTTTTTCTTAAAGTCTTGAAGATCAGCTTCTTTCCAAGTTTCATAACAATTCATGAAGATTAACAAATTTTTCATGTATATAAAATTTAATACCAGACTGTCTGTAAATATTAACTGTAAAAAAAAAACTAAGTCCATATATCAGAAAAATATTGAAAATGACAAAAATATATTTTCAAAAGTTTGCTTCAGACATACTGTTAATAATAAAAAAAGCTTCTGCCAAAGTTATATAAAATTCTATTAAGGTTTAATTGATAAAGTAATTGATGTGTAACAAACTCTAACCCCAGACTGTATCCCCCTTTTAACTGTAAAAAAAAACTTAGTCCATTTATCAGTAAAATATGGAAAACCGAAAATAAATATTTTAAAAATTTTGCTCTGGATACTGTATTTTGGTCATTAACAAGCTTTTGTCCTAATTTCATAAAATTCATGAAGGTTTGAAAAAGTAATTGATGACTGAAAAACTACAACCTCGAGATTGAATCTGAATGTTAACTGTAAAAAACTAAGTTCATTTACCAGTAAAATACATAAATATGAAAATAAATATTTTCAAAATATTTCTCTGGATAAACAACAGAAAAAATAGGTTAAGAGGAATCCATCTTTTACACCTGTAGTTGAAAGAAAAACAGTAACAGACGCAGTTTCACATCCCTGAATTCTACCCATACAAATAAAAATTGTTTCAAATATCTATAAGGACTTACTTGCAATCCACGTATAGTGATGGGTCTTCTTTAGGATTTTTCTCCACCTTCAGAGTCGGCATTCCAGGCGCATCAAAACAAAGTTTATTACCGTGAATGCTTGGTGTTATAAGTGTCATTTTCGGTTCTTGTTGGATGTTAACCTTAACCCCGCCATCTCTGACGACCATCCAGTGTCTAAATAAATATGACAAATAATTTAGCTTTTTAACTTGGTGTTTTCAGTGCCATGTTCGGTTCGTATTGTCTGTTGACCTGTATCGGTCCTCTCTTATTACAATCCATTGTCTCTTTAGGACGAATAATTTGGCTTTATTAAATAAATCTTGTTTTTCTCCAAAACGCATCAATACGTTTAACAGAGACTAAGCTAGTCTAGTTACCACTTTTGTTTTTCTAGGGGTAAAGTTATCAAAATAAAGAAAAGGCGAGTATGTTTATTGAAATCTTGAAATAAACAATCAATAATATTTAATATTATGTATTTTTTTCTCCTATGTTGGTATTGCTGAAGATATACCAAGAAGTATAGCAATTGCAGCTTTGTTTCCTTGGAATATGGTTATTTGCTATTTCAACAGTAAATGCAGAAAAAAAATAACTTGAAATCCGTCATTAAATGTCTTAGAAACAGAAACAATCAAACACATATTCCTGCTATTCTTTTTACTGCAAATTTGAAAGTTAATGTTATTAAAAATTTCTCTCACCTGTCAGTAACACCACTATGCTTCAATCCACCTCTGGTACAGTTCGCCGACTGTAGCGAAATTGCTCCACATGATTTAACAGGATATAAATCCAATGCAGTTACTTTGCCTACAAACTCATATGTGGCGAGTTTCTTCAACCTGCACAAAGATGCACCAATATATTTTATTGTGCTTGCAGTAGCTAAAGCTAAAACCAAATTAAGAGGATCGTCAACTGTCATGGCGAATCCCAAACTTTGTAAGAATTGACCGATAAATATTTCTATCAATGGTCAAATATTTAGGTTGTGATACTCAGTAAGTTAATTTTAGTTATTCAAGGTCAACCCGGCACAGATAATAAATAGGTCATACGGATAGAAATTGATATCCATTTTAAATTCTTGCGAAGTTAACAAACACTTGGAAAGTTTAAAAACGTAAGCCTACCAGAGTAATGTACAAACAACAGGTATACCTTAATTATGTAATCTGGGAGCCTTATAATATATTATGTCCAGGATATAATCAGAGACATATGTGTATATATGTCTCTGATATAATATTCTAAATTGAAACACTTAGGGTCTTCTATGTCGAGTGAGCGGTAAAGTTAAAATTTCTGTTTACCCTACAGTTCATTTTAGGGTACTTTTCCGTCCGCTTGCAACCCATCTCGATTTCCGTTAAAATAGAAAAGTAAACGGTTAAAAATTCAAAATTTAACAGTTAAAGGGGCATTAGCTGTCAAATTCATGTTCACCGATTTGACTCAAATTCTCATGTGTGATTTAAAATATACTAAAACGTATATCCAAGTCTGTAATAAACAGTTAACAATGCATGTACTCGAAAATATATATCAGCATTTCGTGAGTATTTTAGTCTATACGCCATCTAATTAACCATTGAGATGACCTCCGATGCCTAAATAGAGACCCCGCGACTCCGTCAATTGGACTTTTCTAGGTCTGTTTGATTTCATGTTATAGGTTAAAAAAATAATTTAATCATGGTTTTTACCTGTATAAGAATGTTTTTTGTGGATCGAATCAGTCAATGAAATGGTTCACCTTTGTTTCACTTTCAATGTTGACATTATTTTCCTTTTAAATTTAATGACTGGACACGACTAATACATGCTTAATCAATCTCTAGCTAATGGATTAAATTGAAGGTCATATGAATACGGATTCAATGAGGTCAAATTATTCACTTGCAAGTGAATAATTCATCAGCGATGTTACTTTGCTTATTTTGACAAAATTGAGCCAAATTGGCTGCTAAAAGCGAATTATTATTTCATTATTTCACTTTTATTAATGATTGAACAAAAAAATAACAACAAAAATCATATTCTAATTTTTTTTTCATATCTTGTAGCTAATGCCCCTTTAATTAAAGTGTTAAGGTTTAATTGCAGGTTAGTACAATTTATATACATTATATGGACATATAAAATGTATATAAATAAAATGCTCCGCTGGGCACAGCTTGATACGACCGCAGAGGTCGAACCCTGAACAGTTGGGGCAAGTATGGACACAACATTCAAGCTTGATACAGCTCTGAATTTGGATTGTGATTAAATATTTGACACAGCATAGGTTTCTGACACAGAATGAATGTGGTCTAAGAACTTAAAAATTTTTAATTTACCTATTATGGTCCAATATCCAAAATCTAAATACATGGTTAGATTCATCATATCAAAGAATCCAAAGAATTCAATTTTTGGTGAAATCAAACAAAGTTTAATTTTGGGCACTTTTGATCTCAATGTGGACCAATTTGATAACTGGGCCCAAAAATCAAAATACATGGTTAGATTCAGCATATCAATTTTTGTTGAAATCAAACAAAGTTTAATTTTGGACCCCAACTTGGACCAACTTGAAAACTGGGCCCATAATCAAAAATATAAATACATGTTTAGATTCAGCATATCAAAAAACCCCAAGAATTCAATTTTTGTTAAAATCAAACTAAGTTTAATTTTGGACCCTTTGGACCTTAATGAAGACCAATTTAAATAAAATGCTCCGCTGGGGCGCAGCTTGATACGACCGAAGAGGTCGAACCCTGAACAGTTGGGGCAAGTATGGACACAACATTCAAGCTTGATACAGCACTGAATTTGGATTGTAATTAAATATTTGACACAGCATAGGTTTCTGACACAGAATGAATGTGGTCTAAGAACTTAAAAATTTTTAATTCACCAATTCAAACCATATTATTATTATTTGCTTTTATATATTAATCAGAAATAACCAATTTAAAATAGAAAATTTTAAAGAAAAAAAAAAAGGAAAAAAAATCCCCCCCCCCAATTTTTTGAACCCCCTTATGATTCATCAACCCCAAACTCAATCCCAGCCTTCACTTTGTGGTATGGTACCTTGCAGTACAATTTCAGAGAGATCCATACACTTGAACACAAGTTATTGTCTGGAAACTAGAAAAATGCTTGTTTTTTGGCCCCAAATTCCTAAACGTGAAGGTCAATTACCCCCAAACTCAAACCCAGCTTTCCCTTTGTGATATGGAACCTTGCAGTACAATTTCATAAAGATCCATACACTTACACACAAGTTATTGTCCTGATACTAGAAAAATGCTTGTTTTTTGCCCCTTTATGGCCCCTAATTCCTAAAATTTTAAAGGAAATTACCCCCAAAATCAATCCCAGCCTTCCCTTTGTGCTATGGTACCTTGCAGTACAATTTCAGAGAGATCCATACACTTGAACACAAGTTATTGTCTGCAAACTAGAAAAATGCTTATTTTTGGCCCCTTATTCCTAAACGTTTTGGGCAATTACCCCCAAACTCAATTCCAGCTTTCCCTTTGTGATATGGAACCTTGTAGTACAATATCATAAAGATCCATACACTTACACACAAGTTATTGTCATGAAACTAGAAAAATGCTTGTTTTTTGCCCCTTTTCGGTCCCTAATTCCTAAAATTTGGAGGCACTTACCCCCAAAATCAATCCCAGCATTCCCTTTGTGATATGGAACCTTGTGGTACAATGTCAGAGAGATCCATACACTAACACATAAGTTATGTCTGGAAGTTACAAAAATGCTTAATTTTGGCCCCTAATTCCTTAACTGTTGGTACCATAACCCCCAAAATCAATCCCCACCTGCCTTTGTGGTATTGAACCTTATGGTAAAATTTCATAGAGATCCATTCACTTAAACTAAAGTTAGAGTGCGAAAACCAATGTGTCTTCGGACGACGACGCCAACGTCATACCAATATACGACCACAAAATTTTTTTGCGGTCGTATAAAAACTGGACCCAAAATTAATAAACTAAATTCACGGTTTGATTTGGCATATCAAAGAACCTCAATAATTCAATGTTTGATGAAATCAAACAAAGTTTAAGTTTGGACCCTTTTGACTTCAATATAAACCAATTTGATAGCGGGGCCCACAAATAAAAAATCTAAATACATGGTTAGATTCAGCATATCAAAGAACCCAATATATTCAATTTTTGTTAAAATCAAACTAAGTTTAATTTTGGACCCTTTGGATCTTAATGTAGACCAATTTGAAAACTGGACCCAAAATTAAAAATCTAAATACACCGTCAGATTCGGCATAACAAATAAATAAATGTGGTCAAAAATTTTACAAATCTAATGAGTCATACTGTGCAATCAAAGATTACTTCTTGAAATTTTTCAATATTTGAAATTTGATAAAAAAAATTGAAGAATAATTCTTTTTAATTTCTTAAATCTGAAATGAGAAAAAATTGATCCCCCACAATTTCTTTTTACCCCCCCCCCCCCCCCCCCCCCCTTCCCCCTTTTCCCCCCACAAAATTCGTTCCCTCAAGATATGGTCATAATCTCAATTCAAATTACCAATGGAATTTGCAACCATAATTACCCATTTAAATTTACCATCGTGCTAACTTAATCTATTTTATAATAGAATTTAAAATATGTTGTCAAATCTTTCATATGGATTTTTTTGTAAAAATAAAGAATATCAAATGGTCATCCCGTAAGTGCTCATAAGAAAAAGTTTTTAGGATGGTTAGGTTGACGAATATAACAAATAACCGTGAACATAAGCACAATTTTATTGCACAACATCAGGCCGAATATAACTGTCCGTTTTAAGAGCTCATGTGTCTTCAAGTCCATGTCTTGTTTGCTATTATTTGACCTTTTTTAGTTAGAATAAGTGTCAGTCTTACATTGTCCAGTGAACCATGATTATTCTTTTGCGTTTACTTGGGAACCAGGGTAACACAGAGAGATTTGTATCTTTGGTCAACATGTAAAGTCCGGCAATAAGGTACTTCATGGCGTACTGGTCACTGTCGGAAAGTATAGAAATTCTCAATTTGTAACACGATCTCACATGCTTCAGTAATTAAATGGAAAATGAATTATTCTGCCCAACATGTATGGCATAAAGTAAATACATAATATGTACCATTCATTATAGGGTTTATGTTGCTCAGTCTTTAGTTTCCTCTGTTGTTTTTTGTATACTGCTGTTTTCAGTTTTTGCCATGGCATTGTCGGTTTTGTTTTTGACAAATGATTTTAACTGTCCCTTTGGTATCTTTGGGCTATCTTCTACTAAAGTTTATGACAAAAATGGCAAAATGGGTATAATCATCATTATTAAGGAAAAATGTGTCCTAAAAAAACATGACTGAAATTGTCAACCAACTCCATAGTTGGTTGACAACCTCAGTCATGTTTTTTTTTTTTTTAATTTAATATTTTTTTATATTTATATAAATAGTCAACATTTATATACAATAATTATGTGACATATTACACAAGAATATTCACAAAACAATGGTTTAATGTATAATGACATATATCATCAACACAATAATCAAATATTGAATGCAATGACATCTTCAGTCTCTTGCACAATTTTATTGCATTTTAAAAAGTGTTTTTCAAAAACATTTCTCATGTATCTTACACAACACAAATATTCATACAGGTAAGTTATATAATGTTTTAGAGTATTCAAATAGTCTAAAGAGATCAACATTACTGTTTATATTTTTGATAAAATTCCTTCTTCTGCAGATACAATACCTCGCTATAGATAACATGAAATTGACAAAACTTAACATTTCAGCCATGTTGACTTATTTGTAGATCTTATTATGCTGAACATGTTTCTATGTATCTATTATAGTTTCTGCAAAAAATGCAATTTGGTAAAAATCATCTTTCAGTGTCATTAACTCCTATGAGGGTTCAATTGACAATTTAGATTTGTTACTTATTTGTAGATATAGTTTCCAGGGGAAAACACATTTTTGCTTTTACAATTTCTCTTTAACTATCATAAACTCTGCAAAAAAGCAAACATTTGGTAAAAATTTTCATTCAAGGGCAATAACTATATGGGGTCAATTGACAATTTCATAAATATTGAATTATTTGTAGACCTTATTTCGCTGAACATTAATACTATCTAAAGTTTCTATCTAATATAGTTTCTGCAAAAAAGGCAAAAATGGGTAATATAATCATTCAATGGCATAATATTAATTTCATATACATATGCACATTCATGGCCCTACAATCTGTTGATACCTTTATCTTGGCATTGCATAAGGTCATGTTGTTCTCAGACTATTAATGACATCTTTACACTAAATCCACTGGATCTTGGATGTGTACTGATTGATATTTTAGTCTTAGATGCATGCAATTTTTCGTTATTAGATGTTATTGGCTTAGAACTAGCTGTCCCAGGTTAGGTGCCAACAAACTAGTTTAACCCCGCCACATTCTTTATGTGTCTGTCCCAAGTCAGGAGCCTGTAATTAAATGGTTATTGTTTGTTGCTGAATATCATATTTGTTTTTTGTTCATTTTTTGTACATAAATTAGGCCGTCAGTTTTCTCATTTGTATTGTTTTACATTTGTCATTTTGGAGCCTTTTTAATCTGACTATGCAGTATGGGTTTTTCTCATTGTTGAAGGTTGTACGGTTACCTATAGTTGTAAACTTCTACCGGTATGTCAATTGGTCCTGGGTGGAGAGTTGTCTCATTGGTAATCATACCCTATCTTCTTATTTATATATATATATTTAGACGAGTTATATATATATACTGTGGATTCATTATTATTCGTTGCATATCAATTTTCGTGGGTTTCGTGGATACAGGTGACCCACGAATTTAAATGTTCAACAAATTACAAATCTTCTACTGTCTTGTACGCAGACATTGACAAAACCACGAAATCAAATATCCATGAAAATGCAAGTTTTCCTCAATCCACGAAAATAAATGAATCCACAGTATACTCCTACAGGGGGTCAATTGAACATTTCTGCTATATGACTTTTTTTATAGATTTTTTTGCTCTGGTCATTTTTAGCTTAACTTCCATCAATTGACGTCATCGTCATCCGTATGTCCATCATCATCTTAAGGATGTTCTCTCCTCTTGTTTTTGAATTTTTGCCAGATTTTCAGAATCCTCTGGTTTTATCCATGTTTTGCCATTAAAAGAAATTGTTCACTAAACCCTACTTTTCTTTTCATAATTTAATTACATATAGTTTTAAAAGCCATATTTGAAAATTTTATAAAATCCTTGTTATTTTTTCATAGTTTTTAAAAGAGAAAAGCGGACAATGTTGTAGGTATGAAAAATCAAGAGAGAATCATTTCCCACCAAATTTTCTATGGCTTATTTCTCAAAAACAAGCACAGGGACCCTTTTTTTCTGCTTTTTTAGTTCCTTTATTTATGAAATATCATTTTATAACAGTCTTTTACAAGGCTTGTTATTTTGAAACAGAGTAGCGAACATCCTTAAAACTTTTTAAAATATCTAGCGGCCGTATTTGTACAAAATGAGGGCAAAAAATGTCAGCTAAAATAGTTTTGATCTTTCTATTATTATTTATGCAAAGATTAACTGATATTGGCCCAGGAATTAGAGTTTGCAGCTTATGATGTTTACAGACAAGGGCTACCAAGTGATGAAACATGTTTATCATTAAATCTGGTGGACTCTATGGGAAATGCAAACAGCCTTTCCTTGGAAATTTTTTCACACACGAGTTATATTACTGAGATTTTATTTTCAGTGTTTCTCTCCACCTATTTCTAAAATATATGGATAGTGCTATTATTTTGCTTTATAAAATGTCAATCTGAAATACATTACGAATACCATTAGAGATCAAATTTGGACATTTCATTGGACCTTATGGAAAATATGTACAAACACAGTTTTGAAAACTATTACATTAATAAAATCAAATTGTGAATTGATGAGATTATTTGATAATCCTTCCTTAAATCTTTGATTTTGTTCATGAATTGACATCCAAAAGGATTAACTTCCTGGAACACATTAATCCCTTCTCTCTCTCTCTCCCTCCCTCCTCTTGTGATCCACTTCCATAATATTTTTGGTCACTTAGATTTAATATTGGGGTCATGGTTTTATGGTTCCCACATCTACACAAAACATCCTAGATTCTACTAAAACGTACAAGTGTCACAGATGTTGTGCATCTTGGTCATTTCTGCATGAGGGGAAGTTTATCAATGAAAAATTTCCTACATTTGAATTGCTTTAATGTAGTGTTATGTTGACTGTTGTTGTTGTTTTTTTTTTTAATTATTTAGCTCCATGATGCTGTTTGTCCTTTCTTAACTTATGATTTTTGTTTCCCCTTTTTTTGACTGAATTTTGGTGCTCCTTTTTTTACTTTTCATTCTGTTGCCACCTTTTTTTGACTTATGATTTTTGTTGCCTCCTTTTTGACTTCTGACTTCTGATTTATATTGGCCCTTTGATATCCTTACTTATCTATTTTTGAATTGAACCAAATTTTATTAATGGTTCAATAGTGTTCTTTTTCTGTATGCATAATAATACACAAAATTTATACTGATAGAGACTTAGCCAAGTTTAAAATCATACTTATATAAAATATTATGCTATATTGTATTTTTAGTAGTAGGCATAATGCTGAAAACATAATCAAAATAATAACTCTCTATTGTATGGTGTAGTGATGTAGGAAAGACTATAATAATAAAACTTATCCTATATTAAGTTACTATGTATTGGTTTATAAAATATACAAAAATAAACAGACTTGGAGAAATATTAATTGAAAAATTATTGTTTGTTCCTGATGATACACTGGGAATGGAATTATGGTCTGTACTTGACATATTGGCACTAGTTGAAGTATCTGAAAGATAAGATTATTTTCTTTGATTATTTTTAACAATTAGGAAATTTCAACGTTATATCAAATTCAATAAACTGCTTCGCTGAGCGCAGCTAGATACACCCGCAGAGGTCCAACCCTGAACAGTTGGGGCAAAAATGGACACAATATTCAAGCTTGATTCAGGTCTGAATTTGGATTGTAATTAAATATTTGACATATTATAGGTTTCTGAATAAATGTAGTCAAAGAATTTGAAATTGGTTATATGAATTGAATTTATATTCAATTAAAGATTTCTTGCTGTTGTGCAATACTTAGTAAATCTGTTGTCAAGACTATAAACAAATAAAGTTCAATTAATTCTCAATGTCATATTAGAAATTTATGAAAATAAAAAAGGAGCTTACATAAATAGATATAAACAATTCTCCAAAGTTTCATGAGAATTGGTGACAGCATTTTTGAGTTATTGTCCGAAAACTGGAAAATCACCCCTTTTTTTAATGAATAAAACCCCATAACTCAGAAATGTAAAATGTAAAATTTATAAAATTCTAAAGGGAGCTTACATCAATACATACAAACAATTCACCAAAGTTTCATAAGAATTCCTGAAAGCATTTTTGAGTTTTTGTCCGAAAACTGGAAAATCCCCCCTTTTTTATGAATAAAACCCTGTAACTCGGAAACGTAAAATCTAAAATTTATAAAAATGGAAAGGGAGCTTATGTCAATAGATATAAACAATTCACCACAATTTCTTGTAAGTTGGTGAAAACATTCTTGACTTATTGTCCGAAAACTGGAAAATACCCCTTTTTTTAATGAATAAAACCCTATAACTCGGAAACGTAAAATCTAAATTTTATAAAAAACGAAAGGGAGCTCACGTCAATAGATATAAACAATTCACCAAAGTTTTATGCAAATTGGTTAAAGCATTTTTGAGTTAATGTCCGACATGTTGACGACGGACGGACAGAGGTATACCATAATACGTCCCGTAAACAGGCGTATAAAAAGTAAAGATCTAATCCAATCTAATTTGTGTTAATGACGACTATCCTGTAGGGTATGGTGCCAGATGATCATATATTAAATAAAAATTATTATATTTAATTTTCATGTTTTCAAATACCTTTTATGGTGTAAAAAAATTGTCTTTAGTTGTTTGTGAGTTTTTTGTTATTCCATTAAGTCGTAATATTTATTGATTGATTAATAAAAATATCGGAGTATTACTTTAGATAAAACTTTGTAATAGTATAAATAAGATTTTTACAACAAAGGAAATTTAAATATTCAATAAAAAGAGTGAAAATAACTAGTGGGTACATTTCAATGCAAGAGTATTTACTAATAAAATTCTAGTTCAAACCAGTGTGATCACTGAAGTGTAAGAAAGGTCTTAAACTAAACCAATTCAGAACAGAAATGCTACAATCAAGCCACATTAAGATATAAGAAAAAATTACAGATGCCAAATAATGGTAATAGTATACTGCTCTCAAGGCTAAATTAGACTAAAATAAGAATAATAAATCTGTCAAGTACCCAACATATTAATGCACTGTATATTTATTTACAAGTACTTCTGAGAAAGTGATTCAAAATGAATGTGCTTGTCATAATCAGTAAATGACCATAAATGATACATGAAGAATGTGTCACCTATAAGCTTAAGTTGTATCAGTTCTAAAAGTACTTGTTTTAGAATAAAGTTGCACAACATTAATAATTCAGTGTGACTTCGATTTAAAATAAACTTTTTTGACTTTTACAACATATGGTCTAGATAGGCAGAGGGCAGTTTGTTTGCATGTAAAACTTGTTTAACCCCAGGCCTGGGGCCATCACATTTCAATGTAATGCATTACATTACAATTACTTTGTGATTCTTCAATTACAATTACATTTTTTCTCACATGTAATGCATTACATTACAATTACTCTGCCTGTGTAATGCATTACATTACACATTACTTTTTCAATACAAAATCTTGCACTCCGAGGTGGGTATGGAGCAAGAAGATGAACTGTGGTTTATTTTATCAATGGTACCGCTTAAGTCGACGCTAGGGGCCGTCTTGATGTAGGGTATGAATGATTCATTCATTGTTGAAGACCCTACATCAACTGTCAAGATGAAGAACAGGAATAATTTTTTATTTTTTCTATGTATTGTGTGCGATTTTGTCCCATGTACATTTACTCCATATCCTTTTATGTTCTAAAAACATTTCCAGATTTTTATAAGAAATTGATAAATATTACCGGGGGATATGTACATATGTATACAGTGTTAGTGACATAGACTTCAAATACTGGTAAATAAAATAAATTATCATATAATTTTGTTTCTAACATTGATCACTTAATCATTAAGACATCATAAAGGGATTTCAAAGGGATATAATAAATGTGCCATTATAGGATTATCTTGTTAAATGCCTAAGGGCTCTGTGAGGACAAACATAAGTAATAGTTATACACCGAGGGAAAGGTGTGTCTGGATAAGAAACCCCGTCGGCCGGAGGCCGGAGGGGTTTCTTATCCAGACACGCCGTATCCCGAGGTGTATAACTAACTTACACCCCATTCTAAACCCTATATTTGTTAACATTGATTATTAAATGAAAAAAAAACGATAGCATATTTATTGACAATATCAAACCATGATTTATAAAAATTTTTTTTTTTTATTACAAGAAACCCCACTAGTAACCTTTCTTTGGTTATCTTCGTTCAAACTTTGACAAGTGAGTATATTTTACAAATGTCAAAGTTGTTTTGCATATTCCCGTTAAATACATGTGCTAATATGGATCAGCAGGTCAAGGTTAACTGTTTCGTGTATTCTTATTACAAACAAAAAATACATCATACTCCTGGTATACAGTTGTCAATATGGACGGGTGTATAAGACGGACGACATTTTGTGGCAAGCGTTGGATTTGGTATAAGAGACTAAAGACAAAGACAATATTATAACCCAAAGTACTTACCTGTATCAGTTTAATAAAGGTAATCATAACTGTATTTTATATCTTACGATTTTATCAAAAAACGAAAGCCCCCCCTCCCCCTCTTCTCGAAAATAAACAAACATTCATATTCGAACATACTAAGGGATATGTGTGTCTGCATTAAAAATCCGACTACCAGACACGCTCAACATACAATATTTGATATAGAGGAACTCCCTTTTTGGGGGCAATCAGGGGCTGATCCTGGGGGTTCCCAACTCAAGAGAAAAGGGGGGGGGGGTCCAACCATTCAAATGCATTGATCTTTTAAATAAAAGTCGGGTCCAACCCGCAGAACCCCTAACCCCGGATCGGCCACTGGATAACCGGGGGGGGGGGGGGGGGGGGGGGGGGGGGGGGGGGGGGGTTAGAATCCCCATTTTTTTTAAAGATCAATGCTTTAGAATAGAGACATATGACTGGGATAAAAAAAAATACCTTCAAGCAAAAGAGTATTTAAAGGATTATTTTTGTATTCAATATAGATGCTTATTGGAATTTCCTAAAATGTTTTTTTTAATATCATGAAACAATTTGTAGTGAACACTATTAGTAATTTCTTATGTTCATGCTATTTAAAAAATAATCAATTTCTATTGTTACGAATAACAATGGACTTTGTTTGCGGGGTGTAGAAGCAGGGGTTTCCAGAAACCCCGCTCGTCACACCCTGTGGTCAAAATCCATTGTTATTCGTAACAATAGATCTATTCAATTCACACATGTTTCAGAAATAGAAACTATGAAGTATAACAATAGAACTGGGGTGTAAGTTGAGAAGATTTGATTGCAATAAAAACATTTTGATATCAATTAGGTGAAATAACAACACAGACAGGACCCAAACCACAGTTTGGTGTAAAAATGATGATTGACATATTCAATCTTTCATTGAAATAATGTAAGGTGTGTACAGAATTATGAAAAATTTATCTTCATATTTTTTCCATTCATCTATGTAGTTTTGTTTAATATTTTTTTAGAAGATTTTTCATGGACCACCAAACACCAAAATATTCCCAATATCATTTTATGCAAATATCAGAAACCAAGATCAAGACTAGTTGGCTTAGGGGATTTAATAATGGATCCGTAAAGAAGTTTTAAGGGCAAACTATCTATAATGATTTAATACAGTACTTAACTGTGACAATAATTTTATTCAATACTTTCTTTTGTTTTTGTTAATATTTTATTTTTATTTTACTATATTCTTCAAATTTATGCATTTTACCAATTTGTAATGAAAAGTAATGTACAGTAATGGAGGCATTACATTGACTTTTAACTAAAACAGGCTATTATTTGAACTTGGAATTATTTTTAATTATGGAATTTGCATTATTTCTTGTGCTTGAAATTTTTAATGAATTCCATGTTTATTCTGTATTATAATGTTCTGTGCTGCGCACAACACTTTCTATTACAAAGAAGATAGCACATTTTCAATAGAATGTACTGTGCCGCGCACAACACTATCTATACAAAATACATTGTGTGGAAAGTGTTATGCACCGCTCAAAACATAATATTACTTAATAAACATGGAATATATCAAAAATTTCAAACACATGAAATTATGCAAATTCCATAATTAAAAATAATTCCAAGTTCAAATAATAGCCTGTTCTAAAGTAATCATTACATTACATGTAATTGTAATGCAGAAAATCAGCATTGCAAATTACTTTGCATTACATCAAAAAAATGTAATATTACAATGCATTACAATTCCAATTACCATTACCCCAGGCATGTTTAACCCTAACACATTTTATGCCTATACCTAGTCATGTTATCCGTATAATGTCTTACTCTTTGTTTTGCATCTTTGTTATTATAAAATAACATAAATGTCTGTTGTCCTGTCCAATATTTTTTTGAAATTCCTGTTATCTCTTTTTATAAGTTATGACGGAGTATTAAATATAAGTGATTTCTTGATGACAACATTGCTTCTATGAGGGGCCAATAGGGGGTTTATTAACATGTTAACAACACCTCTATTTTGGCAAAAACAGTTAAAATGCTGATAACATTTAACACCAACTTTAATTATGACTTAGTGAATTTTTTATGAACACCACAGGTTTCAGTAGTAAAATAAACACTGCTTACTCTTCCAGAGCACCTGAGTCCACCTTGGTTTGGGTTGGTTTTGTCAATATTTAAGTTTTTTGTTGGTCTTTTTTTTTTGTTGGTGAATTAGCACTTTTTGTCCCAGATGGCGGGACGCTTACTCTGGCAATGCGTCCGGTTTCCCTCCTTCTGAAGATCCTGCTATTCCTTCAATTTTTTTCTTCATTGGTACCTTTTAAATGATTTTTTTAATTTTTTTTATTTGAACATTGGAGAACTACTGTTACCTCCATTTTGGCCATGGTGTTTATAAAGATAAGAAGTGGTATGATTGCCAATGAGACAACTCTCCACAAGAGACCATTTGACACAGAAATTGACAACTACAGGTCACTGTACAGCCTTCAACAATGAGCAAAGCCCATACTGCATAGTCGGCTATAAAAGACCCCGAAATTACAAATGTTAAACAGTTGAAACGTGAAAACTAACGGCCTAATTTATGTACAAAATAATGAACGAAAAACAAATATGAAACACAGCAACAAAAGACAACCACATAATTTAAGGTTCCTGACTTGGGACAGGCACATACAGAATGAATGTGGTGGGGTTAGACTTGTTAGAAGGCGCCAACCCTCCCCTAACCTGGGACAGCGGTGCAACAGTACAACATAAGAATAAACTATAAAAATCAATTGAAAAAGGCTTAACTCACCAGATGGATACAAATAGATATACATCTAACAAAAACACAGAGTGGACGTGGACAGGTACTTATACATCAACACAACAGACAGACACTAAGTACAGATCTGAGAGTACTCGCAGTTACTGACAGCTAGTTCAAAGCCAATAACAACTAATGAAAAAAATCATGCATCTAAGACTAAAATATCAATCAGTACACATTCAACATCCAATGTTGTCTATATTTTATTTGACTTACGTTTTTTGATTGCACCCTTGGTAGGTATCTTCTTACATTTGTATTTGCATTCGTGATAGTTAAAGGTTTTGATGGGAGGTCTTCATTTCTGGGTTTTTATTTGTTTATTTTTTAAAGACATTTTTCTCAATTCTTTATATTTTTTGTCCACTATTCTTAATCTTTATTACCATTTGTTCGAAACTTTATTTTATTTGCGGCTTGTCTCTTATTCTGTGAACACCATTGAGACCATTATGAGTACTACTGGAAATGATATTAGTATCATACTTTGTTAGGATATTACACGATTTCGTCTGTTTTCCCCTAACGTTTGTCGATTTATACCTTAACCTTCATATTATCAGCTAACTTACAAAGTGGTGAAAATATTGTGATTAAGCAAATTTAAAATGATAATGATATTGATTTTTTTGATGAGCCTTAGTATAGTCACCTTGTCCAAAGACAGTTACATTTATGCTGTTTATGTTACTCCATTGAGGGAGCACTGTAAAGAAACTAACAGTGAACACTTTTAAGTGTCAAGTAACAGATAACAGGAATCCCATTTTCATATAAAACAGTTAACAGCATTGTCAATTTAAACAGAACAGATAACAGTTAATAGTTAATATATATTTCAAATAACAGTTAACAATACCTTGAAATAGCCCAAAACAGGTTAACAGAAAAAGGTATTGCCCCCTATTCTATGAAGATCACTGATTTTTTCTCTTTTTCTTATTTGTTATACATTTTGATATAGCTATATAATACATACAGTATATAACATTTGAAAATTCTGTAACAGACATAGTGGTATTATCTGTGAGTTCTGGACACATGATATCTTTACTACTTGGACATTTGATATATCCTCTGTACCCTCGTATCTGAAAAATGTGAGAAAATTGGGAACGATGTCGTTTAGCAGCAATCTGAATCTTATGTTTAATCATGTTAATTCAATTTCATTGCAATAATTTTGAAAAGATTTAACCTCACAGTTACAGATGGGAAATCATATATATTTTCATCATTAAAATTGAGAATGGAAATGGGGAATGTGTCAAAGAGACAACAACCCGACCATAGAGCAGACAACAGCCGAAGGCCACCAATAGGTCTTCAATGCAGCGAGAAACTCCCGCACCCGGAGGCGTCCTTCAGCTGGCCCCTAAACAAATATGTATACTAGTTCAGTGATAATGGACGTCATACTAAACTCCAAATTATACACAAGAAACTAAAATTAAAAATGATACAAGACTAACAAAGGCTAGAGGCTCCTGACTTGGGACAGGCGCAAAAATGCGGCCGGGTTAAACATGTTTTTTGAGATCTCCACCCTCCCCCTATACCTCTAGCCAATGTAGAAAAAACAAACGCACAACAGTACGCACAGTAAAACTCAGTTTAAGAGAAGTCCGAGTCCGATGTCAGAATAGGAAACAAAAGAAAATAAACAAAATGACAATAATACATAAATAACAACAGACTACTAGCAGTTACTGACATGCCAGCTCCAGACCTCAATTAAACTGATTGAAAGATTATGTCTTCATCATATGAATATCAGGCACAATCCCTCCTGTTAGGGGTTTAGTATTATACCATCATAAAATATATGAGAAGAACATAACCCATGTCATGCCAACAACTGGTTTTAGAATAAATATGTTTAATTCCGATGCAAAGACCCTATAAGTGAATCAATATCAAAGCCAAAATATGCAATCTTTAATGACCTGACAACAGTATCGTAACTATATCCCTTTTTAATAAGTCTGTTTAAAGGTTTTGTTAGCTTTTGAGGTGAATACTGACATTTTTGTGCTTTGTAAAGAATATTACCATAAAAGAATGGATGTGAAATACCCGAACGTATAAGATGTCTGCATGTTGAGTTATATATACGAATGATGTCCTTATACCGATGATAAAATTTAGTAAATGTTTTGACTAGTTTATGTATATTAACAATACATTGTGAGAGTTTCAAGATGTTTAATTGTTATGCTCTAAGTATTATCAAGTTAATTATGACCACAATTTCATGGTTAACTACCTTAAATATAAACTAATATGATACAGGACAGAAAAACAGACTCACGAACGACAGACAGATACACTGGCTGCAAAACAATATCACCCTTCTACTATCGTAGGCAGGCATAATAAATGACTGATGGACAATTTACAAGAAGATTCTTACACATTTACGTTGGCAACAACTTTTATCACATCTATCAGCTGTGACTGACCTTCAAATTACGAAGATGCAGCCTTCGGACATGGGCAACAACTATGTGAAATATCAATATTACCTGGAAGCCAACTGGAAGTTAAAAAATAAGGGCTAAAAAAATCATTAAAAACTATTGAAGATCTAACAAATACTTACTCTGATTAATTTTCCATATGGACAATCAATCCAATCTGATCCATGAACTTTGACCAATAAATCTCTATTCATGGAACATTTTTGTATATAACATCTACCAGTTAATATAGAAGTCTTTTCCTACAAGGAATAAATTTGTAGAATATAGTTAGGTCCATATAATTTCATACTGACCAGTAAAAGGTCCATATAATTTCATACTGACCAGTAAAAAAGTACTTATCAGGTTAATGAAAGTAGAAAGTGCTCATGAAGAGAATAATATATTTCTATTACACCAAACACACTATTGTGTACAAGTATGGTCTACATATCAATCTATATATATATATATCGGTATAATGTCAATTGAAATCAACAACTACCTTATACTCTAGAAAAGAATGTATTATTATTACATATTATTTATCAGTTGCTTCACATGGGCATGGCTAAGATATAAGGTAAAAAAAAGTATGTAGACCTCGCTGCAGTTGTGTGTACTCACAAAAGTTGAAATATAGCTAACCAGCAAGTTGCTAAAGGTTACCCCCAAAAAATAATTTCTTACCACATAATTTGAAGTCAAATTTGATACAAAGCACCAACTAGAAATTCCAAATATCTCTTCTTCAAAGTCAGGTACTCTAGGAATCGAACACTGTCCCTGAAACAGCAGAAAATTCTTTTATAAGCAAGCTGATATAACTCAAACACTCTTAGTAAATGTTTGTATAATTTAATATAATTCAGTTTATAGTTTCAAAAAGTGATACTATGTTTTTATATCATTTCAGTTTCATGAAATTAAGTGAAATTATTACCTTTTTAATCTTTTTATATATAAATATTCATTTCATATATTTTCATTACCTTTTAGTCCTGAAAATGCATGAATTATTTTCCACTACAAATAATACAAAAAAATCAATCCAACTGTTGCTATTTTTCTGCTAAACCAAGCATTTCAATCAATTTTTCAATTTTCTAGTATCTTGGATGCTGTTTTCCTTATCAATAAAATAATGTGACATAACCAGAGTATTCAAAAGATATGCCAAGATTTCTTTTTGTTTAAAATTATCTTTTAAAAATTTCTTACTGTGTACAATACCTATTCATGAACTTACCTTTGGTTGTGGTTGGTAAATTCTACATGATAAATTAGACTCTTGTTTACAATAGCCTTTGTCTTTATGTAAGTAGTGACATCCAACAACAGAGCTTAAAATATAAAAACACTGTTTATTGCATTAATCTCAATCTCTATCCCTTCAGTGGTGTTTTACTTCAGAGATGAAAATATTCCATAAATGCTTATGTCAAAAAAATGTATTCTTGGAAAAGTAATATATGTACAAAATTTAGTATCAAGCTTACATGGTAATCTAGTAACAGATTGAATATGTTAATCAGCTAAGGCACTTAACTCATTTTAAACTAGATGCTCAAATGAGCATGTATTCGTTACATGATCCATGAAAAGGAGTCATATAATGTGCAAAATGGATATCTTATTCTCAATTTTCATGAAAATTTCATTTTCCAATAGTGTATCTAGTTCAAAGTACGTCAACCAGTAAGCAAATGATTTGTGATCTGCACATTCTCATAAAAACAATTTTGTACTAAATATATCATCAATATCTGTATGAAGAGAAAACTTTCATTTAAAAGAAATTTTGAATATAATGATAATGATAATAGCTAACAAGTGAAAGGTGGAATTTTCAACTGATGCTACCTGAACTACACATTTATTGATAGAAAAGATTTGTATTTCAAGGGTTGACCTAGACCAGAAAATTATTGGAATCTTCTCCTTCTCTTTATCTATATAGATTTGTTCTTTCTATACAAGTTTCATAATAACCCCAAAAAGTGAAAACTAAAGTTATCATCTTATCATGAACTTTGAGTAAAAATCTATTTTTAGTAATAGCAACCTTGATTCTCAATTCTATGACCCTAAAATCAACAGGATGTTCTCCCTTCCCTATATCTACCATCTGTACAAGTTTCATTCCAATCAATTAAGGCAAACTTAAGCTAATATCTAGAAACCTTTTCTCCCCACCCCCAAATTCTATTTCTAATAACAGTGACAATGACCTGTTCACCCTCAAATCAATAGACTTCTTTCCCTTCCCTATATCTTCCATCAGTTATAATTTCATTTCAATTTAGCAAGGGGAACTTAAGTCCCCATCAGGAAACCCTTTTCAAAATAATTTCTATTTTCACTAAAAGTGACCTTGATCTTTGAGCCCAAAATCAATAGGCTCTTTCCCTTTCCTATAAGTTTCATATTAGTCAAGCAAGGGTAAATGCAAAAATTAATGAAATTGAAATAAACAGATGATTGTTAACAGATAAAAATAAAGTCTGCAAGAGACAATCAAATGGAAGAAAATCAAAGCAATAGATTAAATGATTGATTGAATTATTGATTGATTGATTGATTGATTGATTGATCATGTTTAAGGATGTACTTAGGTCAGGTTTAGGAATTTTTGTCAGAGGTTCGGACTCCTTGATTTTTTTCCTTACCATACAGGATAAAATATTTTGCCCCATAACACTAATTTTTCTTCTCATATAAGACTTCAATAGCTTATAAAAGGTCATTTACCAAAATTTAAGCAAATTCTAGGTTTCTTTTCTTTCGATTTGAGACCCAAATAATACCAATGCAAATTTAAGGTAAAAATCCTAGTCAGCCTTTTTACCGCCATTTTAAAAAAAATATTAAATATCTTGAAAAGGAGTTCCATAACCTATCAATCTTTTTAGCTTATTTTGTTCCTTAACTAATGCTCTTCTGACTTAAAGTATCAATATTAAATTCTAGATTTTTTTTAATTTCACCTAAGTACATCATTAACACCAAATTTCAGCCCTCTTTGCTATATCATCGTGCCAGTTTTTATTGGCAGAGGAAGATTGAGTATCCAGAATGGTTAAATGATCATGAAGATACACTAAAATGAAAATAACAAAAACAGGAACTTCTTACTTATTTCTGCAGATGTAATCTTCATATTTAAGACAAAATTCAGATCTATCAACACAACCCATATCTGAAATAACCAATGACAAAATTTATTTGACTATAAACAATACATTTGTGGCTATAAAAAGAACTCAGTAAGTTAAATACAGGAACATATGATATGCACACTAACGTGGCCTGAGTATTTCCCACACGTAGTTTCAAAGTAGTTGTCGAAACTTATGGTACTTTCATGATTTGCTAAATGCATAAATGTTTCATTCAGAATTGAAAAGTTAAATTAATTCTACAGACATAGATAGTTTTTAATTCAGACTGTTCTGTATAGGCATTAATTTTTTTATTCTCCAATTGTAATTTTTTTTAGTTTTTATATTACCTAATAAAATAAAATTATCTTTCTAAATCTCATATTTTTTTTTTATGATACCGCACTGATTCAAACAGGAAAAATACACAAATGGGTAGTAACAAATATACAATAAATGATTCATAGCTTTGTTTGGTGTCATCATAACCAAAATAAGTTTTGCTGACTGATGTTTGCCTATTGTTTCTTATTTCATTTCAAACAGGGCCTTTGTTTCTTTGGCATGGTTTTTAATTGCCTCCTTTGTAACTTTCTACATTTTTTTTACTTTTACATTGCAAAATAATGACTTATCACACAGAACTTTGTCACTCAATTATTTCTTTTTGGATTGATGGTGTTGTTAGGTTGCTGTCTAACTGATGTATACTCCATATATCCGTCTCAAAATGTAAAGGCTACCATACAAGTGGAAATTCAAATTTATATTGAGAAAAAAATCTAGATCAGAATTATATGAATATTTTGTGTCACTGTGATGCTATCAACAGGTTTCTCATTAAGGATTTTTGAAGACAAAGTCCAGGGACTCATTATTTTTGGCCATGGCAAGTCAAACGGTGAGAAGATGAAATTTTATTGCTATATAATTTACTATTTCAGACTCCATGACAAAAAAAAAAGAGCAAAAAAATAACATTCAATTTAGATTATTTTTTTAAATTTTGCTATTAAGTGATGATATGTGTGCTCAGTTGATACAACATTTTTCAATCTTGATGCATCTTTGGACTCACCAGTTTAGAAGATGATGAGTCCAGACAGATTTTCATAAGTCCAGGACTCATGGACTTGCCTTAGTGAGAACCTTGTATTAATTAAAATTCTTACTTTTGCCCCAGAGATAATCATCAGCAGAACTGTAGTCTACTTTATACCATCCACTGTCCTCAAATAAAGCTAAAGTTATTCTGTCTATAAAGGTGACATGTGGCTGAAAAATGACAACAACTAAATTAAATAAACAGACAAGTGGTATGTAGATGGAAGTATCCTCAGTCTATTTATTTCTTTATTTTTTAGGTAGCTTTTATATGTAGAATTGCATCTACATATAAAATATATCAATGTTATTCTTACACTAAAATAAGGCATTAAACAGTTAACAAGTATAAATTCATAATATGTGCAAAAAATGAATGAATCTGTACAGTAAAAGTAACAGTTAAACTGTTTGCTTTAAAATACAAAATTTAAAAGGATTATACCAAAGCATGTATGAAAGTATGCTTGAACCTGAACATCAAGTAACATTTGTAGCAGGCAAGGCAAAACTGAAATAATATGTCCTTCTTATAAGTATACAAATATATACTTACCATTCCCATATTAGGTGACATAATAGATCCATACATCAACACGTCATCCCAATGTGATGTAAAGTTGTTAAACTACAAAAAATAGCATCACGTACTTAATAAATATAATTTACAGTGACACTGTTTTGACTTTATTTTTTCAATATTTTTGTCCGAAACTTCCAATAACTACTGTTACATGAATCAAAAACATTCTGAAGTTAAAAGTATTCTTGAATGTGCTGTAAAACCATTTCAGTCAAAAATAATTCTCCTCGGGTCATTTTTTTATTGATTTTAATAAGTTTCAATTAATGAATAAATAATAATAGCTGAACTTATATCATAGTTATATCTTTTTTAACCCAGACTTAGTTTTCAACTCAATATTTACATATACTATAACAATGGCATTTGGGTTGTCCATATCCTATAGGAAGCTTTAATTATTTACAAGAACCCATATAAATGTCATTGATGTATTTTCTTAATTAACAGATTGTAAAAAAAAGCTCTGAATTTTGTATTCACCTTTCCTTCCAAGGGAGCACCATATTTAGTTTCAATTGTACACCCAAAATGATTTTGTGTTTCTCTTAAAACTGATGGTGTAACAATCCTTACTAATCCATTTACTTCTTCTACAATGGTTAAACCTAGGGGATGACAATCAAGACTTCTATCTGCAAAATATCAGTCAAACATACTGGGGTTTATTATCAGTCAAACATACTGGGGTTTATTATCACTTTTATAACTGCAGTCTTCTCATGACTGTCAGTATCATTGGGGTTTCTGGGAAGGAGCCATAGTATCCAAGAAAATCATAAATAAGCCGCGGCTAATAGGATATTTAAGAAGGGGGCAGGAGATTAACATGATATATATTCTGGCTATAATGTCCTCTTAGCAGTTTTTAAATTTGTTTATTTCTTGGAAAAATATGGTCTTCAGCCAGTAAAATGCTCAAGATAAAATGTTAATTAATAGTTGTTACAACTTGTATCAGAATAGCTTATAAACTTTAGTTTTTATTGATAAAAGCAATAAATAAGGTACAATATCAGTTATTTCGCTCAAATGTACATAGTGATATTTATGAATTAGATATAGACACTGAAAATAAAAGAATGTGATACAAAATTGTAACTTCTGTAGAGCTTCTTACCAAACAAATTTAAGAAGATAATTATAAGTACAAACAATTTAATATGCTTCAATAGTCTATACATATATCAATAACGAATTCTGTGAATTGTTAATTTTACTGCTGGTATATCATTGTATCTCGTTTGTAAAATAAGATGAAGATAGCATTCCAATGTCCATCACCAATGACCATGACATTTAATTTTCACATTTCAAAAGCTGTTTATGGAAACTATATGTTAAATGAAATGGACAATGAAACCAACTAAGTGTTTACAAGGCAATGATTAAAATTAACAAAGTAATAAGGGTATAACTCCTGAAAAGTCATAAACAGGACACACTTTAAACAGGTTTTAGATTTCATTCAGCAAAAGAATATGCATAAATCTGGTCAAAATTTGATAAGAAAAACATTTACTTAAACACAAAGTGTGCCATTTGGCTATTTGTCTATGTTATTAAAGGTCCTGGTGACTTACCTTTAATCTGACATGTCTTAAAATATGGAAAATGAGTTTTTGAAAATCCCAGTGTATGGAATAGCTCATGTAACAATGTCTACAAAAGAATAATCTTAAGTTTGAAAGGGGATATATCAAACAATCAGTTGCCAATGGTAAACAATATTGTGGATATGTAAATAAAAGTAATACTAACCTAATTTGCAAAAAATTAAATTCAGGTTTCAAAGTTGGCAATATGAAATTATGGGTACATGATAACATGATTTTTTATATAACATGTTACTTTTATTATTCTTCCTTTAGTTTATTTATTTTGTATTTGCATTGTATCATAGGTCAAATTTATTTGTTCAGTGTATGTTCACTGGTGTTAATATGTCCTTTGATTGAGTTAAGCTATTTCAGTTGATATTTTATAGTGTGTCTTTCTATGTTGTGATGTTACACTATTGTTTCAGAAAAAGGGTGAAGGTTTGGTACCATTAAAACGTTTAAACCCGCTGCATTTGTTTGCACCTGTCCTAAGTCAGGAATCTGATGTTCAGTAGTTGTCGTTTGTTGATGTGGTTCATAAGTGTTTCTCGTTTTTTATATAGATTAGACCGTTGGTTTTCCTGTTTGAATGGTTTTACACTTGTAATTTTTGGGGCCCTTTATAGCTTACTGTTCGGTGTGAGCCAAGGCTCCGTGTTGAAGACCGTACTTTGACCTATTATGGTTTACTTTTATAAATATTGACTTGGATGGAGAGTTGTCTCATTGGCACTCATACCACATCTTCTTATATCTATACACAATTTAACGGTTTAAATATGAGAACTATGATAGCAGTAACAGCTTTTAATTTATTAATTTCTTCACCAGGCTTTACTTTCAAAACTTACAATGACTTAATATATAGCTATCAGTTTAAACACTTCATAAACAGAAATTCAAAATAATAAAATTTACAAACCTTATACATTTTTTCTGGACTGTTATTAACGATTGAATGAGGACATACATTGATACACCCAGATATTGGTCTATCATACTGGTCCACATGGCACACTTTGGCATAGGATAATACTTTGTTCACCTATGGAAAATAAATGGTAGGCAGTTATTTGTGGTACTAACCACAAGCAAGAATAACTGACAGTCAAAAGTATTTTGGAATTACCTGGCTGTTTATAACATGTCTTCATACATTAACCAATATCATAATAAGTAATATTAAAAGTTAAGCTATATGATTAAATAAACACCATTTAAAACATATCACAGATAAAGGAAAATTTCTCTATTCTACTTTCTTCAAGAGATTATCTGACATAATTTTTATAAAATCCTAGGATATTAAGACTCAACTATTCTAATATATTTAATAGTTACCTGTTATGCATAAGGGTTAGTTGTTGATTAGCATGCAATGGCTAGACTACAAACATACACTATTGAATCCACAAACATCTGTTGTTACTGAATCTACATATAATATAAAATCTGTATTGTTGACACCAGCTCCTTGAGTATATACCACTCTGACTGGATCTGGGTTTAACTCATTCCATACATATAAACCATCTAAATGGTCATCTGGAATCTGAAAAGTGATACATACAAATTAGTCAATGTACATATGTATTCTATTATTCTAGTCTAACACACCTGAAAAAAACAGTTTAAAGCTACAGGAAATGAAATATAAGAAAGTTTATTTTTTTCTCAATATAACAACAGGAGAAAAACTCACTCTGAATGTATCCATACAAAGTTCACTTTGATAATTTCTTTTAATGGACTTGCATCTGAAAAAAAACAACAATATAATAGAAGTTTAATATCTATGTGACAATTATAGCCTTCTAATACAGACAAATGTGTAAAATAATTCAAATTGAAACATAACTAATACATAACGTAATTTGTAGTAACTACCAACAGGAAACATGGTAAAAGGTAGATTGATCCTAGCAGTATTAACTCACATATCCCTGTTATATTTGTATTTATTTATACTAATGACATCAAATAGATTGATTGGTGTTTTATGCCACTTTCAACACTATTGAGTTATTTGTTATCAGTTTTTATTGGTGGGGGAAGACGGAGTGCCTGGAGAGAACCACGACCTTTGGCAGGGAAACTGACAATCCTAGTCAATTAAGATTGGAGTGGAGCACACCTGCTATGTGCAAGATTTGAACTCAAAATCCTCAGTGTTGTCAGGCTAATGATATAGTTGTTGGGCTACTTAGACCACTCGGTCACCAAGGCCCCTAAAAAATGACATCAAAGTCAACTGTAATAATCAGTCAACATTAAAACTGATATTTACCTTCCTTTATTGGGTCCTGTGGTCCATTCTTTATGACATCCACTTCTTTTTAACAGAATAGGCTTCTGAACTGGAAAAACTAAAACATTAATTTAAAATGTATTATCAAATCATTTAAATGGAAAGTTTCAATAGCTTTAGAAGCTACATAAACATGATAAAAACCCACAGTAAATATATTCATTTTTCACTCCTTCACTGCACATAAAATAAAAAAAAATAAAAAAATTGTAATACTAAGTGTTTGATACTTAGCCATACATTAGTGGGAATTTACTGTAAACTGAACATTTAATGTATGCAATCATTAGTGTGAATCTTCAATAACAGAAAAATAATGCAAGATTAATAATTGAGATTTCTATGCAGTCTACATTTTGTAGTAGAAGATCACTAAGATAAACTACATTAAAATTTACCTACTGTGGTTTTTATTAGGTTGCATTTTTACATTTATAGAAAAGATCACTGACAGTAACTTTTGAATTCACAGCATATTCACACCTATTACTAGTGAACAGGCCAAGATTCTATCATGTACATGTACCATTGACAATCATATATTAATTTGTACCACTACAAGTTAGTACATTCCAAATGTCTAGATTTCAGCATTAAAACAGAAAATTATTTTTGAACTGTACTACATGTATATAATTTTTTCATGGTAATCATGGTAGTTAAACCCTAATTTTCTTACCAGATAGTAACTGTGATATTTTCCCCACTGCCTTGATAACTACCCCAATTATTCTCTCTCTATCCTCAACACTCAATTCAAAATACATATCTCTGTATACCACTTTAATTCTTATTGGCTGATATGTAACATTTCTATTCATTACATTACTGACTACATAGCTTAGTGTCTGTCTCTGTATACCAGGACTTCTTTCGGCTCCAGTTAAATGGTTGTTTTCTTTGGATGACTGTACAATAACCAAGGCCATAATAATCACTAATAATGAATCCATTGTATTCAGATATTTGTACCATCTTAAAGATTTCTATAACTTTATCTGTTGATCTGGAAAATGAAAAATACCCACTCTTTAAGTATTGGGTAAACACGAAGTTGAACAGCAATATATATAAAAATGTATCACACATGCATTGTAAATACATATATAATGTAGCATATACATGTACACATGACTGACATGAAGTCTGATAACAAATTTGGGGGAAGATCTTATTTGTAGTTCCCTAGATAAATGCAACAAAAATTTCATGCATGGCAATTATGTGTTTAAAAAATGTAAGTATCTATAAACAGGAAGTTGATGTGAGATGAATCTGAAACAACATCACACTGTACATGCTGTATAGCATGTTCACATGGAGACCAAAAACAAATTTCAAGAGCTTCTTATTTGTATACGTAGGTCCATGGAAAAATGTGATAAAGCCCCATACCGAATTTCAGCAAGCTCTGATTAGTAGTTTCTGAGAAAAATGTGACAAAAATATCATGGGCATATGAACAAACAGACAGAAGTAAAACAGTATTCCAGCTGTCTTCAGAATGAGGGTATGATAAGAATCAGTCTGCATCATCAGCCATTAGCCCTGTGTCAGAGCATGTCCAGAGTAAAATTTGATTTAAATATCTGAATTTGTTTTTACAAACCAATCAGCAGTGTTCTCCCGTATTATTTTCCAAAGCACCATTTGAAATACATGTACCACTGTTTCACTATCAAAACATGTTTATTTTAGCACCATACAATCATGTCTGTATTTACAATAGTGAATACAATCTATAACAAATTTTACAATATATATATTCAGATTCTTATAGCACCATGACACATACTCAAGAGTTTACTTTTCTTAAAAAATCATCCTTTTTTGAGAAAGTGGGTAACACTACAAACAAAAAGAGTTAATGTGAACAATTTAAAAAATAAATGCAAAACGCAGAACTGCAAATGAAAACAACAGCGTACTTAGTTTGTTGTTGTTCTTCTTCAGATATATATTATCAGCTTCGTATGATTGAAGATTACGAACTGTTGCATACACAGAGTATGTGATTAAAAATATTCAAATAATACATTGTAATAGTTACACAACAAAACTTTTTTTAATCTGAAGATTACTTGATATATCATATAGTGAAATTTACATGAAAAAAAGACAAGTGATTAAAAATATGTACCGGTACATTAATATTTATTAAGTTACTTTGTGTTGTGGAGAAGTGGAAAAATGACCATTTGTAACTTTCTTTTGAGGTGGATATTTGCCGAAATGATTGGTTATATGCTTTTCTTGTTCTAGTATCTGTTGGTATTAGGACTAGCGATGGAATTGCAAGGAGTCCATTGATGACTTTATAGAACATAATCAGCCTGGTTATGGGGCGGCGCTCAGCAAGGGCCATTGAAGATGGTTTATCATGGATGTAACACTACTGGAGTTATGGTAGTTGTTACATTGTTATTGTGTTTAATTGGTTTCTTTTTCTGTGTGATGGTTACATTGGTTAGAACAGTGCATTTGTAGGATTTAATAAGGTGGACATTTTTTCACAGGACATTATGTCCGACAGAATTTTTTTTGATATTATTAAAGTATTAAATGATATCCATTGCCTTGTTATTAATGGACGTATTTTAACCTATAATTGCAAACTTTAATACATTGTTACAGTACTTTGACTCATTGGCACTCATACTATCCTTATCTTCTTATTCATATTTTTTATTAACAATTACTACGAAAAATTGTCCTGTGTAGGTGGACCATATTTCATAACTTTTGTTGTAAAATGCTGTCCACTTAGGGGACAAGATTTCATGGCAATGGACATTATTTAATACCAAAAATTCTATATTTTCTTTTGCCTTTTTCTCAAATATAGTAAAGTTCGTCACATTTGATATTATACTTTACACACTTCCTTCTTATTGTCATTAGCATTAGCTGGGTATTTCTTAGAACTTAAATGTCTCTATATTCACTTCCATCCATTATTTGTTTGTTTATATTTGTATAATAATCAATTTCTAATCAATCGTTCAGATTTTATTAAAATCTAAGAATAATAAAACTTTTAAATGACCTTTGTATTACTTCCTGTGGAGGACACAATTTAATAGCAACTTCTATGAAAACTTGTCCTGTGGGTGGACACTATTTCATAACTTTTGCAGTAAAAATCTGTCCACTTGAGGGACAATATTTCATGGCAATGGACATTATTTAGTACCAAAAATCTATGAAAAACTGTCCAGGTGGACACTTTTTCACAGGACACTATTATGTCTTGCACATTATCCATGATAGAAGGCCATGAGCCAGACAGCCTCCCATTTAGCAGCCAAATTTAGATCTGCTTGTAGTTTTGTGCAATCTTGTTGACATGTTATTTCACGGTATAAAATGCTATCATCAGCAAAGAGTCGTAATTTGCTGTGATTGACGTATTCTGGAAAATCATTTATGTATATTTAAAAGGGTGTATAGTAGGCCCAGGGACAGTTCCTTGATGTAACTGGTACTGACTATTGTATTTGATGTTATTAAACTCTGTTTGATTATACATAGATTGAGAAATCATTCATTGAAATGTAGTGAGTGAGAAAGTAGTTCTTATCTTACGAATAAATTATACGATAAAGCGTATGAAAATATCCAAATTTTAAAGTAAATTTGGATTTTATTAGATAAATACTTACCATCATAAATTCTAAATTCTGAGTGTAACCCCAATTGCGTCATAGGTCAGATGGAAAATCCAGACTAAAAATAAACGTACTCTCACTGGTCCGGACATATACCCCTGTTTGCCCATATATTCTCCCATTCAATTTCCTCAAGACAGAAACGTAAGGAAAGGGGATGAAGGGGAGGCGGATGGGACCTATAATTTAGGATGGTAAGTATTTATCTAATAAAATCCAAATTTACTTTAAAATTTGAATATTTTATAGCTATAAATACGTTACCATCATAAATTCTGAGTAACAGAATCTAACATAAAGCTGAATCCCCTGTAACAGAAGAAACTGGGGGAAAGTTCAATCTTTGTGCTGAAACTATAGGTCCAACAGAGTATAAACTCTCGGCAATAGCCATAGATTGGAGGAAATGAGAGATAAAAGAGTTCTCATTTCTCCAGAAACCTGCAGACAGTACCTCTTCTTAAGATGCACTGTTAAACAGAGCCCAGAATGTAGAGATACCCCTAACATCATGAGCTTTAACATTAAAACTATTCAAAAGTTCTGCCTTAGAAGAACCATAAGCTAAAGATATGCATTTGCATATCCAAGTAGAAATAGTTTTAACAGAAATGTCTGAGATTCCTTTTTTAATAGGAATAAAGAGTCTTGAGTTAGAAACAGAACGTAAACTACTCGTTCTATCTAGATAACTAGAAAGGATTCTTACTGGACATAAAAGTACAGAAATAGAATCGCTAGGGAGTGCATGAATCACGACTGATTCTGCACTCTTATCCGGAATCTGATTATTTGCCAAAAAAGCAGGATTAGTTAAAAGAGTAACAGAAGATTTATCCCTATTAAATCGAAGGCAAGCATCAGTAATAGAGAAGGCATGGATTTCACTCTTTCGCCGTCCAGAAGCCAAAGCTAAAAGAAAACAGCATTTATAGGAAAGAAACCTTAAATCTATTGTATCTGCTGGTTCAAAAGGAGGCAGTTTTAAAAAGGATAAAACTGTTCCAAGGTCCCACATAGGAACTAAAGTTTTTAGTCTTGGTCTTTCAAGACTAAAACTACGAACCAAAAGAGAAATATGCTCATTGTTTCCAAAATCTGGGCCACCAGAAATATGAATAGTTCTTGAAATAGCTGATCTATATCCCTTAATAGTAGAGGGACATAATCCTTTGGATTCAAAAAGAAAAACTAGAAAGTCTGCTAATTGTAGTACAGCGACTTGAAAAGAATCAATTTCCCGCTCACTACACCAATCTGAGAAGATTGACCATTTTGCATCATAGACAATGCTAGTGGAGTCTCTGACAGACTTTGTGAGATGCTTGGTTGCTCCTTCAGAAAAACCTCTCTTTCTGAGGCTAACCATGAGAGAAGCCAGGCGTGTAGATGAAGTTTTTCTGGATTTTGATAAAGAACCATGCCCTTGATTTGAGACAGAAGGTCTGGTCTTAGAGGTAGAACTAGAGGACAAGCACATGATAGGCGCAGAAGGTCTGGAAACCAAGACTGTTTCGGCCAAGCTGGAGCAATAACTGATTTTGCAATTTTCCCCTGCTATTTTCTGAAGTACTGGGGAGAGAAACCTGAAAGGAGGGAAGGCGTATCCGAACATTCCTTTCCGAGATAGGCTCATTGCATCTACCGCAAAAGATTTTGGATCTGGAACCGGAGACACCAATGTTGGAAGTTTGTGATTGAGACTGGTCGCAAACAGATCTATCTGAGGTGACCCCCAATGAAGAGTCACAGCTTTGAAAACTACTTGAAGTAGTTCCCACTCTGTGTTAACTGGAGAAAGGGATCTAGATAGAGTGTTGGCTAGAATATTGAGGTGCCCCGCAATATGTCTCACCACTAGATGAACCTGGAGTTGAAAACACAGAAGGAGAATGTCTCTGGCTATCTGATAAAGAGAAGGTGAATGATCATGAGTTCCTCCCCTATTCTTGAGATAAGCTACAACTGTTGTGTTGATTGATCTGTTGGTTTCCATTTTGAAATGGGGAACAATAAGAAAGTTGTTCAGAATAGATAGGTCTATGACTGGCCTCATTCCTCCCGTCTTCTTTGGAACCAGAAAAAGACGGGAATAAAATCCTGGAGACAGAGTTAAGAGCGACACCTCCTCTTTTGCAGATTTTTGTAACATTGTGTCCACTTCTACTGATAGAAGTTGATACTTGACTGGGTCTTGAGTATGAGACAAACTTATCGGAACTGCAGACAGAGGAGGTGGGTTCTTGAACTGAAGTGTTAATCCCCCTCGATTTATTGACAGCACATAACAGTCTGAGGTAATTTTCTTCCACTGATTTAGGAAAAAAACTTAACCTCC